GATATATTGGATTCTATCCAAAAGAAAATACCTTAATAAATGAATTTCAATTTTTACGTCATAAATTCATATTTTTTGGATGGCTGTCCTAAACCGACCCCCATACAAAAGACGATTCATCCCAAATAGACGTCCCTAAAATAACCCATATATATAAAAAACGACCCATAGAAAATTGAATCCCAGTACAAACCTTATCAACCTATACTTAGAAAATACAACAAAATAGAATATAAAAAAAATGGGAATTAGAATGATATTATAATATCCATCGAAACAAATCTCATGTTAGAGAATCGTCCTAAAAAAAACACACCATTATAGAAAATTATAGAGAAGCGTCCTCATGAGAAATCCATATATCATTACAATAATTCTTATAGCAAACTAAGTCATGTTTTAGAAAACCGCAGAATGACCCCTAAACAAACACTTTTCGAGACACCTACAAGCAGCCGCCCAAAATTTATAATCTTCAGATATTCGATTAAAATCGAAGAATACTTTTTTTGTTAATTATCAGAACCCTGCCCCCCCCCCGCCCCGCCCCCCCCCCTTGAACCTTGAACCCTAAATCCAAAAACACTAAACCCCAAACCATGGAACCCTAAACCCTAAACCCAACTTATTGCTCAGGGTCCAGCGACTTGGGCGCCGCGGAATCACCATGCTCACGCAGATGCGCTGGGCCGGGCCGAAGTCCCGCAGCGTTAAAATTAAGAATCGCATGATAACATAAATACATCCTAGACAGCACGGTCAAAAGGGCCAACATCATAGCCAATGACCCAGTTCATAGATCAACATCATAGATCAACAAATCGTTTATATGAAAATAACGATATATTTGCATATTGAGAGACTGGAGCCTCGGTGAAGAATTTCAAATTTCATACCATAAGAACTACCATGTCTTGAAGAAGCCTTACATGTCGTCCAATAATTTTTGAGAATTCATCGTTTCGGGTTGAAGGTTTAGAGTTTAGGGTTTAGGGGGAAGTGAGAAAAGCGCGTGCCAATAAATAAGTATATATATATATAATTATTCTCATGGTGTTCCTTAGTCTCTCTGGTGGGTCACCTAGAAGGCACTTTTTCAATCCAAACTATGCAGATAAGCGCATTCCGTCCTGCCCCTCACACCGGAAACCTGAGCTTTCGATGTGTAGATGGTTGAGACATCATGGCAGATCCACGAAGGCCCGCAGAGGCAGCAAGGCTCGCACGCTTCCGGCTCGGCTCCGACCCAAACGCCTCCTCAAAGCTGGGGAAAGATGGGCGATCCGAGAGTCTCACAGCGCCTTGAAAGGTACCATAGCAGCAACTGTGCTTGTACGGTTTTTTTGATCTTTTTTGTGTTCTTCTCAACATTCCACTTCCCAACCAAAAAGGCTGCTGACCCGTTCGTCCTTAGCTGACGCTTTCAGGAAGTCGCTCGCTGCCATCAGCCGACACACGCCGACCTTTTCAAAGGCAAGTCTCAGTCCTTCAACTACCGACCGTCGTTCAAGCACCCTTCAAAGATCGATAGGCTCAATGTCCGCACAAAGCTCGGTTCATGAGGACAGCGTGGCATAGCGTGGCCAACAAGCTGGGCCACTGAGTAACTGAGTACGCGGCCCCCTTGGCAAGCAATGCAAAGTTGGGATCGGCTGCCACCTGGAGGAGTTCATGTTCTCGTCCGTGCTCGGTCGTTGACAGGCGTAGGTTTACTCACACCCTGAGGTCTCGACATGTCTCACCCCTAAACGCTGCATTACGCTGCTCACCATTGAGCACCCATGAGCACCCTAAACCCCCCCCGGCGTCCCCGACCATCATTTGTGCACCATTGCAACATTGCAACGTGCGGCAGCATGTCGCAAAACACGCTCCTTCCCCCCTCCTTCCCCCTCCCCACCAGCGAGGCCGCGCTGGCCAGCTGCTGCCGCAGCGCCGGGCATGGAAGCGACAGCGGCGTGCCAAAGGAAGCTGCAGACTGGGCGGCAGTGGCGGCAGTGTAGACATGTATGCGTAGAAGATTGTACTAGCGCCGGGTTTATCTCGACCCACCCGGTGTAAAGTCGGCCCACCCTTGCGGCACACAGCAAAACAAGGTAGAGGAAGGAAGTCACCCCAGGCGGTGTAAAGTCGGCCCAGCAACAGCGACACCCCAGGAGCACATGGCTTTTGAGAGCTTTCGCGCCTTTTGATATAAAGAACAATACCTGGCAAAGGTATGCAAGGGTTGTAAGTCGCGCCGATTGTTTTTTGAACTTCTGCTTCATGGTTTGTCGTCTTTCCCTCGTGGCACGCCCCACACAAGCCATCTGAGAACATACCCCATGTGACATGGTATCGCGGTTTTTACAGCGTTCCCCGAGGGCACACTGGGATTGGGACAACTTCCGCCTTGCGGGGAATGCTTGCAATGGTTTCATGCATCGGAAGCTTCGGGGTTACAGCACAAACAACGATCCGGAAATGTTCCAAAACCATGTGCACAGTACTATAAGACCGCAAAACTCTGGGTCTGATGAAATATAAGATATGTTGGGGATATGGGAAAGTAAGCCCAAACCCTGCGGCACATGGGCTTGGCACGACTTCACCCCGGCAGGGTCGACTTAAGCCTACCACTAGTAGAAGTGTAGACCACAGAGTGCACAGAATCTTCAGCCTGTCGGTCTCTGGTCCGACCAAGAGAAGACAAGTCGTGACAAGGTCTGCAAAACCTGGCGAGCGTAGTCCTGGCCTTGATCTCGGAGGTCGCCACTTTGGACGCGGTCTGCTCCTATGTTCACACAAAGCATGGGACTTTCATGAAAGCAAGGGCACGTAAGGGCACATTCTACAGCACGTTTCTGGATGTGTCTGACTGCGAACATTCCTGCAGCAGCGCCATCAGCCGCTGGAGCAACGACAGTCGGAGCTCTCGAAGCTCCTCGCACTCCATCACGCCTCAACGGCTTGCGCAGACATCTTCATCCAGGTAGTACTCCCCAGCTGCATCTACATGTCTCCTTGGGTAGTGCGCACAGGTGCTAAACGGACTCACTACTTCGGCGTGCAGAGCCTTTGTCGAGCGCACATGGTCCGGAGACTGACCTTTGCTGGGCAGTTTGCGATATGTGGATAAGAGGCAAAATGAGGCAAGCAAATGCAAGCAGTGCGTGTGCATGACCTCACAACGACTCGTGTTTGATACCATGCACGTCCCTGTAGTACATACACCCTAGCACAGTCACATTGAGAAGAGACACCCCGCTCTTTTGGACAGGGCAAACCATCGCAAACCTAAACTCTAACGGTGCTGGTGGGGCTACAGTAGGTGTTCCTGGTGTGTTCTTTGGCACAGCTGGCTTGCATCTCTGCACGGGTCTGCCACCACATGGTATGCACAATGGATCCGGCAGCTGCTAGCTTTGTCGCAACCGGTAAGCCGACAGCAAGCCATGTTGCCAACACATCGGCAGGCTGCATATTAGGAGGCATGACATGGCACGATGCCAAGTCACCCAGTCTCCAGGAGATGGGCCACCAGCCTGAAGCAGCTTTCAACATATTCTGGCTTGAAACAAGTCCACAAGTTCACCGGGATGGTCAGTAAGCATCCCACCTCGGGTGCAATGAGACCAGAGACTCGTACCCCGTCACGGTGAGCTCGTTGGATGCCTGTGAGCTTAAACAGAGTCGTGTCCTAGGTAGAGAACTGGTGGAAAACGTGATGCCTTTAAACCTTTGAGGCTGCGACACTGACCGTTGCATGCGCCACGCCACCGCTGCAAATGAAGAGGTCACCCGGGCGGAGCAGCGCGATTCGTGAGGCCGACCTGTCTGGTCAGCTTATGCCGCATTAGTTTCGACCCACAAGATTGAGACCTTCCATGTCGTTCCAGAGTGTGTTATAGGGGGAAGCTCTGGCTTCAGAGCCTCCTGTGCGCGCCTCAGTGCCGCCAGTTGGGGCTCCCCAAGCGGAGGCCGGAAATGGGCGTCCGGCAGCGCCCGCACGTGCTGCGCACTCTCGGCGCCTTCGGGTTAGGGCTGGGCCGAGGCTTGGTATAGTCTTATCAAGCCTGTGCACAATTCTAGTTTTGATTGTGTTGTCATGATTGGTTACTTGCTTCAGCAAGGGTTTAAAGCTGGCTCAGGATGCTTGGTGGGAGTTTGTCTGGGCTTTGGTTTTGCCACTCTATGGCAATGGGAACGCCGGGGACATAAGCTGCAGCTCCAGCTTATTTGTTGACGCGACAGTACCATGCCCCTGAAACTGGGGTGCCCCATCATCAGATGGAGATTGCAGTCCTTGTTCTGGCCTGCTGGCCAAGTGACCATCAGCTTGTAGCCCCTGTGCCGCATGAGATCAGAGACAGATAAGGATACGCCACACTACTTCCATAGTACTAGCAGCTACTAGCACCGGACATTTACACACAAGCGCTTCTTCGACGCTTCGTTGCCTCCACTGCTTGCCGATGTTGCTCCACAGCACCTGCGGGCTGTACAACGCAGCTGGGTCCCTGTCACTCAGCTCGCTTCGCAACTGTCCTGTACATCTGTCAAGCCATTTGGGATGTGTACCTGTGCTGAAGGTGTAGGTGATGCTGCCAGAGCCGAAATTATTGACAAAGCAGCTCCAAGCCACCTGGTCCACGTGCAACCCCTTGCCACTTCCACGGCCACCGATGAAGATCCCATCGTCGTAGCCTTCCCAGCACGCTTCAAAGGGGCTAGGCACCACATAGCACAATCGATCAGCATATCTTGCAATAAGTCCCAGACAGTTCCAGTACAGCGTCCAGCGTGAAAGTTCACCAAGCCAATCCCGCGCATGACGCAGGCACAGGCTCTTCGTTGGATCCGTGCAGCCATAGCCAGCCGCAGCCGTGTTGGCTGCACGCCTTGGACACGCACGCGGCCACATCGGTGTGTCAAGTATCATCCAGCAATCGCCCGTTTATCAGAAGACCACGAGATACAAACCCTGGTCTTGTACAGTACAAAACCATCCGCTGCCTCCGCCATGTCAGGTTCTTAGGACATGCTGCTGGTGCGGAGGGCCCCTTCAGTGGCTGGAAACCAAAACGACCGCTGGAGCTCCGATGGGGCTTGCTTTCGCGAGATGACAAGCGCCATGAAGCTGGTTGGCGCTAGGGCTGGGAAGAGAGACGAAGAGAGCGCTTGTTGGATCTTCCTGTCCAAACCCCTGTCTAATTCGGTAAAGTTCACAGGTTGTGATGCAGGACTTCTTAGAAGAAGAAACGAGGCCGGTGCTGGCCCGTGGTGGGCACATGTTGAAGTAGGAGATACGAGTACATGAGTCGGTCTCGTTTCTGCCGTCAAGCAACCTGCAAAAAAAAAACAGAAGCCGAAACCCCAAACAGTTCAGATCACCAACAATATGAAGCCGCTGATCGGAAGCAGGCCGCTCTCGCAGGCGTCGGAATTCGCAGACATAGAGATGAGACCTGAGCCGGAAAAACCCAAGTAGAATCCAGATCGGTGAACTGAGTATAAGCGCTCTAGGGCGCTTCACTACAAAACGTAATCGTACACTAAGCCTGCATACTGGCCAATGCATCGCCACATGCAGGCATCTGAAATTCAACACCTTTCCAAGTACCCTGAACATGTTGCCAGCATTATCCGAACCAACTTCAGCCATCTTTAACGCTAAACCCTAAACCCTACACCCTAAACCCTGAACCCTAAACCCTAAACCATCCTTCACTGTCCAATGGTAATCTGAGTGACTCATCCAGGTCGCCTTTGGCCTTCAAGGCCTCGCAGAGCGGAAATGGCTTTGGGTTTAGGATGGTTTAGGGTTCAGGGTTTCGGGTTTTAAGATGGAGGGTCACAAAGCTTGCTGGACTTGATGTCACCCAAATAGTTTACTGGGTAGTTGAGCTTGACCACATACAGTTGGAAACCCTTGCGCGACCTCACTTTCATTGACGCGCCTCGGCTGCCACCAGGCGCTGCGAAAGATCCCGCCATGCCTTCGCCGGGCATTTTTAGTTGGAAACCCAGGCTCGTTTCCCGCGTCACAAACTTCCGCTGCGGCATGCTTCGAGTAAGTCCCTGTTGCATGTGCAGAACTGTGGCGCAACATGCAAGCCAAGTATGGGCATGGACTCTGCAGCGATGGGGACACGGGCTCGCGTGTTGAGCGCGCCTGCCCGCATGTATCGTTTGCCAGTTCCAACGTGCTCCAACGTTCTGTTCGCGCGACCGCGGATGCCGATTCGACTCAAGAGGCTGAATCACACATGGGGGTTTTACCACATGGGGGTTTTACGATATAGGGGGTACCTTATTGGGGTCCTTGTTATCATTGACTCCCACTACTTGGGTCTAATTAGGGGTGCCCTATTTTCGTAAACCCCCACATGCAGCCCGCACCTACTCGCTCAAAGGACCCTAAGAGCAACCCATTTAGCTCGAGCCTGCATATATGGACCAGGCAATTTCACACATCAAGGCGGGCAGGCAAGTGCCCATGAAACAGTCAGCCCATCCCAGCATGCCCAGCCTCAGGCAGCGCACCAGCTTCGGGCAGTTTGGTGGCGCCTCGAGGCCAAAGCCAAAATCACTTCAATTTCAAGCGATCGCCCACAATTGCCTGTTGGGTAGCATTGCTTAGACGAACAAGGAACCCAAAAAAGCAAACTCGTCTTTCCTCACCAAATCTCACCACGGCACCCGTCTCATCCCAGAGGCAGAAAGGGTACCTTTGCCAGTTCTGGCAGCAGGAAGCTACATGACAGAGGTCTTCTTGAGGTTCAGTATTATGGGAAGTTTTCTTTGGACCCGTTATCTGACCGTGAGGTGCAGCACAAGCATCTCAGGGCTTCAGACTTCCTTGCTCTCAAGTGGCCACTCCGTGATGCCCTAAATACACTAAAGACGCAAAAGCCTCTGAGAAACCCTCGCTTCCGTGTTGCACGTTTCTCGACATTTTTTTTGTTGTGGTGGGGGGGAGGGGGCGGAGAGAATACCTGCCGTGTGTTGCGATAGGGAAATTGCTGCATTTGCCGCGTTTCCAAGCACTGCGGCCTGCAGTATTTCAAGGTGATAGGCAGACATAACATACGTGAGGTGCTTGTTGGCTTGGGCTTGTTGTACGGTGTTTAGCAAATTCTCGCAGAAATGAAAACCAGCTACTAAGCCTGGAGACGGGCGGCGGGCGTGGCAAAGCCTCCCGCTGAACTCCGCGGTCGTCGGGGAATTCCAGGGCGGCCTCTAAAAGAGCGTAAGGATGTGAAAAGGGATTATAAGGTTTGGGGATTTGGGAGTTCACTGTGGATCACTGTAGTTGGTTGGTTTGGGGGACTTGGGGGGATTTGGCCACCAGGGGTGCTGATTCACATACGCTACGGCTTTGGATGCCATGATCTCGCGACCGGCAAAGCCACAAGGCACTCGCGAGTAGTGCGATTTGAGTCCTCTTGGTGCATCTGAGCCAAACTTAAGCTGGGTAGAATCTTAGAAACTGGATGGACAGTACATTATCCATCCGACATGCATCTTTGCAAACGTGTGCACCCTCTACAAGTAGCACTTGGCCCCGGCAACTGGCAATTTGAGGGCGTTAGGTGCTTTCCATGCCCTGCCCACTCTTTGGACTAGGATTTCAGGGGTCCACTGGATCCTGGCCTTATAGGGGTCGAGTCCCAATTTTTCTTCCTAGCTTCGTGTAGCTTTCTCAGTGCATGGGCTAAGGATCTGCGATGCTCAAGCGGGGTGCAGAGCGCCTTGTGCGCTGCCAGCTCCGCCGGCGCCAGCTGCCGCAGGCAACGGAGGACCTCGGGACTGCGACACGAGGTCCCGAGACCGGAATTTCTTCAACATGCTTCGGCTTCAACCCTAAACCCTAAACCCTATTATAAACCTTAAACCCTCTCAGACAAGGCACTGAACCTTCCGCACCATCCAGGGCTTTGGAGAGCCATGGTGGCAGGGCCTCGCAAAAACTCCAACCATGCCATGGTCCAACATGGTCCAAACGATTAGGGTTGAGGGTTTAGGGCCTAGGGTTTAGGGTTTCGGGTTTCGGGTTTAGGGTGAAGGCCAAAGATGCCCCCCGCCTCATTCTCTGCGAGGCCGGCCCTGGAAGCTCAACTTTTGTAATGATGTACGTAGGTCTTCTATTCTAGATTCTGCGTGTAATATGACATGATGTAACATCCCCCTATATGCAGATATCTATGTTAAAGCATAGGGGACATGGCTGGGAGGTCTGCTCGAGGACGGCTCACGCGAGCTCTTTCGGTCTGCCCATTTCCGCGCCTCTTCAGGCCATCCTGCAGAATGACAATGTCCTTCGAGACTCGTTGCAAGGAAGCTCTATACTCCCCTTAGAATCTTAATATAAATAATATGTTTAATGTCCTCTTGGGTTTCAAACGTGTGTTAAACAAACAAAAATAAACAATAACTGCCAAGGGGGATATTGAGCTGTAGCAGGAGTCCACTGAAGAGACAGCAGCCGCTCGGCACCCTTAACGGGAGGTGAGACCCCTGTCCTCGAGGTGGTCTTCGAGGAGTAAGGCTTGTGCAAACTCCTCGCCAGAGCTTGGGGTGACCATCCCTAGCCAGCCATTCGAGTGAAATGTATGAACAGCAAGGGGGATACGACCCGATGGGGCGAGAATGGAAATGTTCAGGAGGGCGGCAGCCGAAGGGACTGCGTCTCAACACCCGACGAGCTCCGCAAGTCCTCCGGACTTTGGACCAGCCGAGGCCGCTTCCGCGGATCTTCAAACAGCTCCTTCATGTCCATGTGTGACAGACAAAGGCAACCGGCGCCGGGACCCTTCACATCCCCTTGCTGCAGTTGCAGCCGGGGGTCCACAGGCCAGCCGAGCGATTCCACCATCTGCCGCTCGTCGTCTGAAAGTGACGTCATTCCGACAGGCAGCCCGCCAAGCACGTTTGCATCGTCTTCTTTCCGTTGGTTTGCTGTGGCGTACTCCACTTGTGCCCATGAGCCTGATCATTTCAAGCCTCCCGTCGGGGATTAGAAACCTCTCTGAAATCATGACATTTACAACGCACAATGACAAGAATCGTAATGCCGAAACCCTGTTCCCAAGTGTCTGCCATGCTCATCTAAAAAGCAGCGGATTCGAATTGGTTTGCAGTTAAGTGCACATCTTCTGGAAAGGGATTTCGACATTGATGAGGGTGAGCATCGCGCTGGCACGTCCGCACGACGCAAGGGCCGTATGAACATGGCACATGTAAAAGACCATTGCTTGTGTGGCTTTTGAGTGGGAGCAAATGGATCGATCAGAGTTATGGTACGAGTACCTTTGCAATTGCTTGTCCTGCCAAAGGAAAAGGGGGGATGAGCTTGAGCCTGTTTTCACACGAAGTCACGGCGCACGTCACGGCGCACGTCACGGCGCACGCGGTGCACGCAGCCGGCTCGTTAACTGCCCTTTGGGCACAATGCCACGTCCCCCTTCAGAGAGACGCAGCAATTTCTGGATCCCTGGGCCGAAAGCTTCTCAGCACTTTCACTGCGGGCTCACTCGTCTTGTTGACAATGTGGAGCCGTCTACCCAGGGCTCCAGCGAGTTCATTAACCAGCCCTGATCCTCCCGTGACCTTGGCCTTGGCACCCCAAGCACGACCCTGTGCCTTAGAATATCCTGTCTCAATGTCGGTTTCCGAAATGCAAGGGGCTGCTTTTGGGGGTGCATGTTGTTTAAAACTGGGTCTTCTACTTGGAAGAGCAGAAAGCCGACCGACATTTTGGAAGAAAGCTGCGCCGAATCGGCTCATGCCCAGGTCACACCACCTGCAGGATCCTGTGCCGGAGTTCTGCTCGGTGGGTTTGGGGTTTAGGGCTTAGGGCTTAAGGCTTAGGGCTTAGGGCTTCAAAGGTGTAGGGCTTCAAAGCACGCAAAACTTAAGCCGTCTTGGGCTCTTATATGCCCTTCGCGGTCCGCACGCTGCCAAAAACCCAGACCCTAAGTCCTAAACACGATAAGCCCGGCCTGAAATCAAACAGCCCTAAACCCTGAGCCCAAATCTAAAGCATGCACCCCAATCAGAACCCCCCTCCCCTCTGCCCCGTGTGTCGCATTCCACCCGACACTCTGCCTCTGGCGCCTGGGCTGCGGGCGCCAGCGGGGCTGACGCCGGCGCATGCCAAGTTGGCTTCATTCAAGATGACATAAACGCCACAATGCACGCGCAAACCTTGGCGGCTGCCAGCGGCTCGGCGGCTGAACCAGCGGCCTCCGATGCCAGCTGCTACGAGTAGAGCGCAGAGATGCGCAGAGTGTAGAGCGGCAAACCGGAGTACTTCATCTGCTCATGCGAGTGCAGCCGATTCCCGAGCCTGACTCAACAATCCCAGACCGAAGATCTTCCATCTAGTTGAAAGAAGCTGCACCTTCGCAGCTGCAGGTGCCGCTGCGCTGGGTGCCTGTGCGTTGCAACATGCCATCGGAGCAGAGCTGCTCGCATGAACAGCTTGGGTGCTGCAGACCGGGTCATGGGCCTGCATCGGCAGATGCGGGGCTTCAACAGCCAATGCCTTCCGATCAGGAACATCCAGTGACATGCGTGGGAGCTGGTCCGCGGCCTTCGTCTGTACGTGCTGGTCATATCAGCATGCAAAGCGCTGGCCTCCGCGTCCGCCGATGGGGCTGCAGCCATGAGCTCCTGCCCGGAGCCACCACCGAGCATCAGACAGGCACATGGACCAGCCATTTATATGACTTGGCAAAGGGGCACATACATAAAAACATATTTATATATTTATGTATTTATTTATTTATTCACACAGATAAATACACAATCATGCATGTATGTCCATTTTACATGCATACATGCATACATTACATGCAAACCTGTACATACCTATATACAGTTATGCATATACATATAATGCTCTTGATCATGTTCCCAGGCCTCGACAGGCGGTGGAGTTGATGCGAGGTGCGCCTGCATTCTGCTGGCAGAGGACCGGTACTGGACCAGCACTCCCCTACCCCTCCTGCCCCCCCCCCCCCCCCTGAAATTGAACCCTAACCCCTTAATGAAATTCAGATTTGAGGTTGGTTCCCAGCCCCGGATGGCCTCCCCACCCCACGTGGCGGTTCAGTCTTGGCAGCGTGGTGTGGTAGTAGTGGCTTCATTCGGGTTTTCGGGCATAGGGCTTTCGGATTTTAGGGTTTAGGTTGCAGGGTTAGGCTTTAGGGTTGGCTTAAGGGTGCAGGGTTAAATTTGTGTTCCTCCTGTCCTCTGTGAGTGGAGGCTTTAGGTTGTAGGGCGTGGGCTTAGCGTTGCGGGGTGGGGATACCATGGAAGGAAGGGGATCTCATGAGAGGGTCCGAGAACGCAGAGCACGAACGCATATAAGGGGATACAAGGGACTTCAAGTACCTAGGACCTAGTTCCCTGATCTCATGTCACGTGCAGTCGGCCTGGATCATGGCGGCTTTCTGCTTGGAGTAGGCAGCCAGCTGACCAAATCTTTGATCGACCTGCAAACTGCAGAAATGTTGCAAGACAGCATGAAGAGCTAGAATCACACCTTTCCCCGCTCCCTCTGGCATGGAGGAACACAGCGCAACAGGGACCCTTATATTTCTAATTCTTCCCAAGAAACCCAACCCTGCGATTAAATGCCCCAGCGGGCCAGGCAACTGCCCGAGAAGATGCAAAAAGGTAAGACATGCACATGTGCAACGGCCATGGGTCAGGTGGGTCCGGGTCAGAGTGGCATCCATAGGAGGGACAAAGGCGAGAGCAGAAGAGTAGGGAACACGAGGGCAGACTGATCAGTGAATGAGACAGCCGAAGCACTGCGCACAGCATACATCCACTGCAGCTACATTACCAAGACTCTAAGTGGAAACGAAGCTATGCTAAACCCATAGTTTGAACCATCACCCTCAAACAGCAGCAGAAGGCTCCCCCAACTGGTCACTTTTCTTGAGTGAGCAAGACCAGCCAACGCCTCTCCGCAACTCTGTGCTACATCTGCCAGCTGAAGGAGGTAGTCATGGATCACCTGGCAGCGACTTCCGCAGCTCAAGCCGACTTCCACCAACTAGCCTCTAGGCAGCCCCAAAGCCACAAGCCAATATCAAGACACAAAAAGGAAGAATAGAACTACGTGCTGCTTTGTAGTTCCAACACTAGACTACAAGCAAATTCTTCATCCTTCTCGGCCTCCAATGTTTTATATACTCACGTCGCACCAGGGCTCAGACGGGCAGAGGTGGCTCGCTGGGATCAACCAGGTAATCCACCTCAATGCCAGCACAGTGCCAGTGCTGAGGCCAACTCCCTCGAGTATACTTCGATGCAGCCACAAAAGTCATGGTCCCATCCCCACATGCAGATTCTGTTACATCCGCCACAATGGACCCCCCAGGAGCCCCCGGCATTTTCCATGGGCGGCAGATGGAGCTGCACCGCCTGGAGAGGGCCGTAGCACGCTTTTCAGGCAGGTTCAGCCTAGGGGGCACGAAGGGCTACCACAGCAACAGCACTATGGCACAGCCGATGCACATGCCAGAACGTTCAAATGTGTGCCAGCTCCACCATGTCGGTGACAATGGCCAAAGAGCGAAACAGCAACCTGCTGGGAAAGATCAGTGAAGTGTTGGGGAACGGGGATTGCTGACCACTGCTACTTGCAACCGCAAGCAAAGCACAGCACGGTGGCGCAGCGTGCTGCCAAAGACTTCAAACTTGCAGCCGGGGTGCTTCAAGCTGGAAGTTCGCTCATCACACTGCCGGCAGGTCAGCCTCTACGTCCAAGGATGGTCGCTAACGTGAAGGACTCGACTGTAAGGTAAGCCACCCTAATCCCCCCCGTTTTACCCTTCAACATAAAGGGGGTCGCAACAACCCCAGAGCCCTGAAGCTCCAGTCCCCGACCCTCCGGGTGCCCCCACGTCCGGCCAGGTTGGGACACCTGCTGCCTCAGCTTCTCCTCTTCGGCGGCCTGCTGCGCCCTGGGTGAGAAAGGTGTCTGAATCTCGCAGTGTCCCTTTGCTTTGTGCTACTCTTGGTGGATGGGGCTATGAAAGCTAGCTGCCCCCCTTGAATGGGATGGGCAGGGCTGGGGTGAACGTTTGCTTGCAACGTTTATAGGGTTTAGGGTTATAGGGTATTACTGTAACTAGAGTTTAGGGTTTTAGAGGGCGAGAGCCGATGAGAGTGGCATTGCCCCTTCGTGGTGGTGGAGCTTGATTACTAATAAAGCTACCATTAGAAGGGGCAGGTGGCCGCAGTTTCCAGGTCAGAGCCTCGTTGAAAACGCGCTGAAGAACCACGATCAAAAGGATATCACAGGCGTGGCTTGGGTCGCCGCAGCTGTTGGTGGAGGCCCTGTAGCTCCAGCTGCCTCGCATCACAACTCTCGCGAGCATCTCGCCCAGAAAAAGGCCTCGAACCTCCGGACCGAGCCTGCGGTCGATCTCCGCCACCAGGGCCTCCTCGGTCATCAAGCCTCGGTTTCTAGAGCAGAAAACGTTCACATTCTTCACAATGCCGCCGCGAAGAAAGCTGTGTTCTGACGACCCCTGACGAGCTGGCGAATTTCGCGGCCAAGCACTCCCACGACCCAATCAGCTCTAAGAGGCCCTAACAGCACTTCTCGGCAGCTTCCCAACCAAGGCTTTGGCCAGAGTTGAGGCGCGTGTGAAAGTCCTGGCAGGGGCGAGGCCGCAAGCTCCAGACATGAAGGCTTCGGCGGCTTCGGGTCCTCGAAGGTGAACAAGCCCGTCGGACTCGCCACCTGTATCAGACCCCGGAAATAAGAATCCCGCAAAGGCAGAACCGGGGACTGCTCGGGTGCGCGAGGCCATGCGAAGCCATGCGAAGCCCGTGGAAGCAAACTTCTGCCTCGGAGGGAGACTGCCAAAGCAGGGCGTCCTCCGCCCGCTGATCTCTCGGAGATGTCACCTCCTGGAGAAGAAAAAGACACAAACGCCCTTCAGCGGGTTCAGGCTTAGGGCGACGTCTTGAAGTTTCGGGGTTCAGAGTTGACCTCAAGGTGAATTCCGCCTACGGGTAGCCAGAAGTCTGCGAAAACTGGGCTGGAAGGGGATGAAAGGGGATGCAGCGACCGAGAGATGGCCTGGATGCGGAGGAACTCCTCCCGTGAAAGCACGCCGTCCCGGTTTCGGTCGAGCTGATCAAAAAGAGCCTCTGCATGTTGCTACACAGCACGTACACAGCATCTCCTCATGACCTCCACCGTCGGAGATGCTTGCGCATGCAGCGATCTTACATGCATGCCTTACCTGGTAAAACGCTCTAGCGCTACGGCACTCTGAAGCTGTACGAAAAGATCTTCAAATGTCTTCAGAGTCAGGACTGCTGCCCCAGCCTCCGGCGGCTGCTGCAGGGCCGCCGCTGGCAAGGTGGGCGTGACTGCGGGCGGAAACTGGCCTCGAAGCTGGTTCAGCTGTTCTGGCAAACGTTCCTGCGAAAGGAACGACTCTGAACTAGTACGTGCAGGCTGTCAGCGCAACATGAACTCGCACTCTGTGACCAGGTGCGTTGCCTGCAGCTCCCTCCCGAACGGGAGAAGCCTCAAACACTCGACAGTCACAGCACGCCCGCGCTTCCTTGAGTTTTGAACGTCCGCCAAGCATCCTTTAGAACTGGGCCGCTGTCACCAGGCATGCAACGAAACATGAAAAACAATCCGCAGTGTCTGAAAGCCTCTTGCAGCACAAGGCGCGAAAGGCGCCGGTGCGGGCGCAGGAAGGAAGGGAGCCTTCGAGTTGTTCGACTCTAGACTATGGGAAGACCATGTCAAGCCTACCTCCACTGGAACCCCATGGCTTTTGCCTGTGCTGCAGCCATTGCCGGGGCGAAGCCGGCCTCGCATCTGGCATTGAGTTTTTTTGAGATTAGATCAACCGTCCGAAGTTGGCTGCAGCCATCATAGCGGCTCATCCATCAGATCTATCGCTTGCAGAACTGACGCAGCTAGCTTTGCATGGCTACTGCTCCTACTGTAGCACTAAACTAGGCTCAAACTGATTGACGGGGGTAACCGGACCAAACGCTGACTTGAATTAAGCAGCCCCTAGTTTCCCGGGAGATCTACGTCTTGAGCTCCAGGTGGAGCTACCCTGCACCCGCAGTATGCAGATGTATGCAGTCATGCCTTGGCGTAGGCAGCGAACGCAGCCTGGCCATTCGGAAGATTTCTGGCGGTGGAGATTGGGAGCGGACGGAACCATCTTGCAAGTTCTGGGCCCCCAGCCCGGCTTGCGAGATGTTGGCTCGGCACCACGACTTTTCCCACCATACACTTGACACTCGTCGCTCTCCTAGCTTTGCACCCTAAAACCGCACTCCTTGCAATGATCACCCCGTGCGCCTCAGGCGCCGAGGCCTGGACAGGTGCCAGCGGAGCCTTGCAAAGAACTTTAAATTTGGGGGAGTTAGTGGCCTGGGATGGAGTTCTTAAATGCTTTGATGAGTTGTAGCCCCGGTGGTGGTTGACATCGACGCCCGAAGCTTCAGCAACCCGTTCAAGGTTGTGCCGGCTGTGCCCCCCTTGCTTGCTGAAGACTCGAGTTGAAAGCGAAAGCAGTACCAGCAGGCCTGAACCCTCGACAATGCCGGAGCCAGGTCCTCTCATGCTAGGAGGCGAGATGAGCTTGATATACTTGATATTCTTGATATTCTTGATACAACACAGACGCATCGACGGAGCCATGTTTTGCACCTTTTTTTTAGAAAACTCTTGCAGATGGTGGAGCTCGGGGTCCGCTGCATACAGCTGCCGACTTCAAACATAGAGAACTGTTCAGGACAGAGCTACGCGGCAAATCCAATAAACTGCACACTCTACAAAATCGTGGGCCGAATCGGGAAGGCAACAACAGCCTTTGCCCACGCCCGTCTGGAGAGCCGTGTTGCCCGGTCGGTTCTCGTTCTGTGCCCTGCGACCTGTGGGCGCTGTGACCTCAACGGGTGCAGCAGCCTCACCACTAAATCATCAAGGGTCCCCTTTCGAGCCCTGCTCGAGAAGGGCTTGTTTGTCGTTCAACTGTAGCTGTATGCTACAACGGACCGAATTAGGAGCAAGCTCTAGAAATAAATAGCTATACAAGGGGTACTATGCAATGCTGATACGTGCATCGTGGGCAGCGCCCTCAGAAGAGAAGGCAGTCTGCCTGAGAAATAAGACAAATAAACAGTCGCTGCCAAGCGACCCGCAGTGCGACTCCCACGGAAGCCGCCATAAGAACCCAACCTTCCATCCAAGCTATCCTCACATCTGGGCACAGCCACACGATGCTTTTTTGGATGGAACGTTGGAGTTGAAGCTGACAAGTAAGTCCTGCACATCACTCAAACATACTCAAACGGACTGGGTGGTTTGCTGGGCACTGCCTCTATGCTCATGAGCTGAAGATAACACTCGGGGGGGGCGTGTTGGTGGCATCTGGCCACGGTCCCACTGATGCGCTGCCAGACTCCCCCTTTCACCCTGCCTTACCTCTAAGTGGCCGGTAAGTGGCCGGAGCACTTTGGTTCGAAAATGCACGGGCCCTGGAAACAGCTACTCGGAAAGAGTAAGATTTCGAGAGTCCGAGCCGAAGTTCTGCCAAACTGAAGGCGCCGACCCTAGGAAAACAGCGGCCTTCCCCCACCCTGAAACCCAGCATCTGAAAGCAGAAGGCTCCTGTGCTGCGGGCCGCTTCCGATAATCCTCCTGCCAGGCTGCTACCATCAGCGGCCGCAGTGGTGCGTAGCAGTCGGAGGGCGTTGGTCGGGGCTTCCTGCCTTTGACGTAGTCGTCGAGGATGACCTATACGGGAAAGGCAAAGCGCTCTGCAGCTCCGTACTAGCTGATGCAAGTTGCAAGGTGGGCAGACAGCTAACTGGTGATGATCATGGTGTGGTATGAGGGTCCCCTTAGAGACGTGACCTTCCATACCTCCCAAGACGGACCCCCCATGTGCCGCTCAGGCCAGCGCCTTCGGATCCGCGCCGCGCTGGTAGAAAGGCATACGTCCTGAGCTGATGAAGTACATCACGAGGCCGAAGGCATAGATGTCCACCTTCTCATTGTAGTACTCATGCCGTGCCATCTCCGGCGCCATGTAACGCCAGGTGCCCAAGCCTCCGGTCATCTTGAACCCATCGGCCCTTCCAGCTCGCCTGCTACTTCCCAAATCCCCAACTTTCAGTTGCAAGCTGCTCGTCAGGAAGAGGTTCATCGGCTTGATGTCTCGGTGAATCACCGGCACCTCGCGGTTGTGCAGGAAGGTCAAAGCCCTGGCTATCGCTGAACACCACTGCATCGCATCGCCCAAGCGAGGACGCCAGAGGGTACCATCACGCTTCTTGCGCTGCATGAGGAAAAAACGCTCGAGGTCTCCGCATGGGAGGAACTCCGTGACGCACATCACGGGGTGGGGTTTCTCGAGGCAGGCGCCGAGGAACATGACCAGATCCGGATGGCGCAACTGGGACAGAGTGTCGATCTCCTGTAAGAGCTCCTGCGTTGTATCATGCTGCAAGTCAACAGACAGACACTGGAACAATAAACATCCATCCAAACGAATCCAAAACAAAAGAACCCGCACCAACAAACAAGCAGGAAAGTAGTCGAGCAAGCACGCAAGCAAGCAAGCAAGCATGCAAGCAAGCAAGCAAGCAAGCAAAGCACAAAACGATGCAAAACAAGGAAAAAAACAAGCGATCGAACCAACGACAAAACTGCATGCGCGTGCGTGCGTGTGTAGCGTGTCAACAGACTGAGAAGATCCGTGTGTTGAAGCTCCTGCACCATGCTATCAGAGCCCTGTGTCTCGGACGCCTCTGGAGTCTCGGATTTCCGGATTCGGTCTGACATACCTGTGCTGTGAAGCCCGGCGCACTTGATCACAACCGTTGTGCCCTTCCAGTCAGCCAGGTACAGGGTGCTATGCAACGTTCGGCTCAGCTCTTTCCCGATTTCCAGCTCCTCGCGCCGGATCTTCCAGTTGGAGTCCCGCGCACGTAACGAAAGACGTCGCTGCTGCGCACTGTCCGGGCCGAGCTTGCGCATGCTCGCGTTCGCTGCCGTAGGAGGGAAGAACTGAAGATCTGGCACAGTCTGAGAGTCGGGAGTGCAGTCCAACGTTGAGATTGCATCCTGCTCGTCCATGCTTCCAGAAATAGACCAGCCACGAGGAGACAAATCCTTTGGCCCGGCTATGTCGATGCATGGGCTCATGGCTTGGGAAAGGGGGCCTGTCCTGTCTGGGAGCGATCTAGTTGTGCCTTTTGATGCCTTGTGCCAGCGATCACATGGGTCACAAGTCACATGCGGTGCTGCGTTGCTTGGCAAGACGGTGTCCAGCTGCTGCCAAAATGATTCCCTCTGTCCCCAGCCTGTGGACGTGCCATGGACGCAGGCGCCGCCTTCGAGCAACAGAATGCGCAAACGGGGCGGATACATTCCTCGCAACACTGCAAGATGCAAGATGCCGAAAGCATGGCTTTAGGCTTTCTGAGGAGGCACCTGACACAGCCCTGGAGACGGCCGGCCCGGTGATTGGTCACCGGCCTCGTGACGCTCCAAAGGATGTGTAAGCAGCGGCTTGAGAGGCCTTTGAACCGGCTTTGAAGGTTGCAGGCCTTGAATGTCTTGGCCCTTTGGGAACGGCATGTCAAGGCTGCATTTCACATCCTACAATTTGTTGGGTCCAGAGAATTTGCCACTGCCTGGAACACTGTTGGCGGAGCCGTGTGTCGGCGAGCCTTTCAGCAATCGCGGGCAGGCAGCCATGCCAAAAGGTTCTGAAGGGTAAGCTGAGTCAAATGCTGATCTTTGCAGAACAGAGTTTAAGTACGACGTGGTGCAACATATTGCAAACACATTCATTAATGTCATTGGCTGAGGAGCGACAATCAAATGCTGCAAGATGTGCCGTCCTCTTCCGCTGACGGCTTGGAAGTGAAGGATGCCATGGTGGCCTGGCGTTGCATCTTGCATTACAAAGCCAGCAAAGTTTCATGGGCCTCAGCACTGAACTTTTTTGATCTCGCGGCACAAATTTCATGTTGCACAGGCCACGCATCGTGGGACTCCTCCTTGTCATGGCACAGTATTTCATGATATATACATATATATATATATATAACATTGTATTCCTATAGTATTGGAATCCATTATTAACCTGCATGATTAATTACATGATTGTGTGTTTTTCTAGGTGTATAACTTGGGAGTGAGGGCCTGGGACGAAAGCTAGTTAAGGTACTCCCACGGAAGAGCTTCCGTCAACATGGCATCAACTACGCAGCAGGACAAGCACACACAAAGGCAGCAGGCCGTGTCACACATCAAGGCTTCTGAGTCTTTTCTTGGGGGGCTTTTCTGTTAGCATCTTCCGGAGGGCTCTTTTTTGAAGCGCATGACACCACAACAGATGTTGCACTCACCAGGCGAAGTCTGAAGTCTGTCCAATCCAGCTTTGAGGGACGCCAGACTCAAATCAACATCAAGGCTTCTGAGTCTTTTCTTGGGGGACTTGGGGGGCTTTTCTAGGGCCTGGGATCCACAGAAAACGGCGTTCATTTGCACCAATATACGAAAGAAATGAACGCCAGCCCGTTTCCCCAAAACCTGTGTTTGCCCACCGGAAACCGACCGAGTTTGCTGCGTTTCGTGGCGGAGCCTCCGGGGGCCCTGTATACCCATCAGGTTGTAAGCTTCGCTTAAGCAAGATACTCCGCTAGCTCCTCAGGGGCTAGCTTTCGTGACTATATCTGTTCAAAGTACAAGTATACAAATGCCAAAGTACAACTTTCAAATTGCTAGTTGCAACAATTGTACGATTATACGATTACGTGGCTACATGGGTATATAGGTACATTCGCATCTACTGGTAATCTAATATTGTATCTTCCTGATATTCTTTAAATACGACACTATGATTTTTAATATGGTTTTTGAATTATACCTCTATATATCTATACGTATATTTAAATGTATATCTAAATGTATACATATTCCTTGCAAATGTAGTTTTATGTTCCTCTAGCTTTTGTTATTGTATGATATTCTGTTGTTATCTTACAGTATTGTACTATTGCGCACATAGATTTTTATATTTTATTGTATCATCTCACTAGATTATTATATTATTGTACGCGTTTTGAGATTATGATATTACGGTTTTATGTTATTCTTATACTAGTATGACTATATGACTATATGGTTGTGAGATTATATGCCTACATGATTACATTATTAGACGTTTAGGGTATTAGATTTATTAGACTATTCGATTGTGAGAATATTATATGACTGTATTAGTATATGACTTTTGTTATATTGCTATGTGCTATATTCTTATACTGTTGTATTGCCATATTGTCATCTTGTTACATTGTTATATTGCCATATTGTTGTATTGTTTTTGTTGTCTTGCTGTATTGCTATATTATATTCTGGTATGATGACACTGAGGTAATATGAGCTTATGATATTCTGTTTGTATTGTGCTAATTCACTATTGCCTTCTTACTGTACTAGTCTATGAGTACATGACTGTAGCATTAACTCATTATAGTATGTTCCAATTGAAGGCAGCTCGCTGAATCTTCAATGATAAGACGGAGTGAGACGTCGTCCTAGATGATCCTGGCTCTTGCCGCCTGCAAGATCCTGTCCTTTTGAGCTTCAGAGCCGGTGTAGCTTTCATTGCATGCTAGCGCTGTATGAAAGAGAGCATTGGCGTGGTGTAACCAGTGCTCTCTGGGGCGACCTACTCTACGGCTCTACGGTTTATCTGACACGTTGGGTCTGCTTGGAGGGCAGCGTAAGATGTGTCCAGCAAGTCGCCTTTGTTCTAGCATTTTGTTAAACGGACACCTGCAATTTCAGAAGCCTTCTACGATCTACATACTTGGTATACTCTTATACCGTTGTCTTCTTATATCATTTTACCATATTGCTATATTACGTAGTATATTACTATTGTACTATTGTGTTGTTGTTCAGCTTCCAATTCTCACCCTTCCTTTCCCAAACCCTAAACCCTAAACCCTAAAAACTAAACCCTAAACCCTAAACCCCAAACCCTAACCCTAAACCCTAAACCCCAAACCCTAAGCCTGACCCTGCAGGCCTCCGTAGCCCCGGGGTGCAGCATCTTGTTGGCCTGCGCTGCCACGCAGGCCGCCACGCTGGGAGGCCGCGCCTCCTGTGCCAAGACTCGAGCTGACAAACTAGGGCCAGTATTCCCTATTTGGGTTTTTTTGGGGTTTTGGGTTTGGGGTTTAGGGTTCACTAATTAGGGCCAGTATTCCCAATTTGGGCTGTTTATGTTTTTTGGGGTTTTGGGTTTGGGGTTTAGGGTTCCCTATTTGGGGAGGGAGGGAAGGCATCTAGGCTTTTCAGGCAATGGCCATTGCAGGCAGATTAATTCAAAAAGTTCGGGCAGCGCGCTTGTTTGATGCATGTTCGGCGCAGCTCTCATGCGACATCGAACTGTTGTCAGCATGGGGTTCAGAGATGGAGATCTTCAGCATGGTAGCAAAGGTAGCCGGAAAGACTTTCAATGGTGCGCATGTTACATTGGGACGTTCCCCCTTATCCTGACAGCCCTAGGGATTACAATAGGGGGGACATAGGGGGGACTATAATCCCCATTAAGCATCCCAGATGATACACCCTAAACCCGCTCAAGAGCCTCCAGCAAGGCACCAGGCGCGGGAGCGGCGCTGGCGGCGGCCACCGCAGCTGCCTCCTGGGAATGGCGAACACGAGAGCTGCTCGGAGTGTGTCCAGGCTCTTGGAATCACTTTGTGGCCTTGTGGGTACCTTTATGTATGAGGAGTCCTAGCACAATAGGTACCTACAATGATTATCAGTGGTACCACCCCACAACATGAATCTGCGCAGTCTGCTCAGTTGCACTCCACCAGACACTGCAACAGCTCCGGAGCCTGACTTTCCGCCAACTTTTTCAAGGTCGCTTCCTTACACGGACACTCGGTCGCAGATTCGAGTGGCTTGTCATTTCGGTTTGCACGGCTACTCTGTACCAGTGCAGGGGGCTTCCGCTTCTCCCCAAGTCGGAATGTAAGCACAGAATCCCTGGATGCAGGGGCGCAGTACTTGTTCTCCATTGGTTCCTTTTTTGGGAGACTTTCTTCTGCACCTCCAAACATACGCCCATACACACACACACACAAAACTGTACCCCAAATCAGAACCAGCCCCCTTCACCGGTTGCTTTGGGTGCTGATGTCCGCAGCAACCCTTGACTGTGTGACTGTCTGGCTGAGCACGCAGCCAACTGTCGCTCCTTTGCCAGGATGTGCTCCTCCTTGCGCATCCTCACAAGCGTGTGTGCGTGCAACATGCCCTTCATGAGCAGCAACTGGTTTTGAAAAGCTCGCACCCAAGCCCCCCAGCCATATGTTCAAGACACCGCATGCCGGAAGGCCATGTAAACGCAACTGTTTCTGAACCTTACCAACCCCTAACCTACTTGCGAACCCCCCAAACCTTAAGCACTGTCGGAAGCAAGCCGCCGTGAAAATCAGGCCCGAGACCCTGCCCAATAGGGCCTAATAACCCGACTTATCACAAGAATGATCCCCCGCCCACGGACCCTCCCCCCCCAAAAAAAAAACAAAAGCTGTCCCCAAAATAATTTTCAACAACCCCCCCCCCCCCTCAAAGAAAAAAGTAGTAAGCATCCCTAAGCCGCCCTCAACAATGCGCGGGGGGAGGCTGCAACCGGGGTCCGGGCTCCATGGACGCCTTCACCGCGGACTTGTAGGGCATGGTGGGCCCTCTGCTTCCTCGAGGGTTTCAAGGCGTTTGGGGTCATTAGAGTTTAGGTTTGGGGTCTATGTAGGGTTTGGGGGTTTGGTGTCTGGGGTCGGCTACCATGAAATTTCGGGACTGCCTTCGCTAACTGGCCAGACCGCCCTGCCCGCCTGACCCGGTGGGCAGAGCACCGTCCATCTGCTCCATCAGCGCCTCGCGCTCCTGCGAAACCAAGCCGAGCTTTCGGTGTGGGATAACATGGCGCTACTCTGCGCTACTGCCCTGTCAGCTGCTTCGGGGAATTTGCTCAGTGCGGTATTTAGGGCGTGGACAGGGAGGACCGTCATCATCGTGGTTCTTGCTGCCTGGCTGATAGACCTCCCTAAACATATAACGGCAAACAGCAACTCTTCAAAGAACCTCAAGCCAGCCGCCCAGATGAACGGCCGTCCCCGATGGTCCCCGTGGCCTGTTCGAGCTTCTCACGCTCCCTCTGTATTGCTTCCTCCATCCTGAGCGCTGCAACCCTACACCCTAAACCCTAAACCCTAAACTCTAAATCCTAAGCCCTAAACCCTAAGCCCTAAGCCCAAAACCCTGAACCCTGAACCCTGAACCCTAAACCCTAAACCCTAAACCGAACCTTTGCAGATCCGCAGCAGAGGGGCTTGACTCGCTCCTTTTCCAGGCGCTCGGTTTCCTGTCAGTCCATTGGGCCCCTGTACGGTACAGCCGGTACATCATCTGCTTCGGGCTTCGGGCACAAGAATGCAAGGGGCATCTTCCAGCAACGTCGGGCGAAAAAAGGGCTGGCTCTTAGTAGGGATCTGAGGGACTTAGGGCCCCACATAATCCCTAACAAGGGTACATAGAGGGCCCCAATTCCCTCATTCCCTGCTAAGAACCTGGGGAAAAGAGCCTTCTCCAGCTTCTTCTCCAACTTCGCCTTCTCCTCCTCCTTCTTTTGGTCCGCCCTCTCGCGCTCGATCCTCCGGTTTCGCCCGACTCGCTTTATGCAACCAGCCCTCTATGCTATTATTGCTCCCCTTGTTTTGTTGTCAATGTTGGACCCTCTTTTATGCGTTTCACCCGCTGAACCGTCGAAACTGGTTGGGATTCGAGGTTCTCGGTTTCTTACACAGGGGTCTGCCTTGCCCTGCCTTTAGGCCCCGGGCCAGGACATGAAAGTGGGAGGTCCGAGAGGCTCCTTGACCACCCTTTTGTCGGATTGATCGAGACAATTGTTAATGAGGCTTTGTACAGGAGAATGTTCCAGTAGTTAAGGTCTGGGGTTTGGTGCTTTGGGCTCAGAAAAACACACTCGAAAAACCTATAACAAATATGAACCCTACCCTGACAACTTGACTTCATAGAGGACTTCAGTTTTAGCGCCCAGATAGTAGAACGATCCTGAGTAGCCCGGCAAGCTTTGCTTTGCAGAAGGGGCCCTTCTAGCGCGGGAACAAAGGGCCGTCAGAGACCCAAGCAAAATTGCAAACTCACACAATCTTCGCAATCTCCTGTACTTCTCCTCCATCTTGCGCTGCTCTTCCTCCTCGGAATTGGGTGCCAACATAATCTAGCTCATGAACCAAGCCAAGCCTTTGACACTCGATGCATTATGTTTAAGCCTTTAAGCAAGCCGGGTCAGTTCAGGGTTTTCACCGAAGTCGGTTCGAGCATTCCAGAACCGCACGACATCTGCATCCAGGCAGCCAGCTTCAACTGGGTGGCCTTTCGCTGCTCTTCCAGCCTCCTCTGCGACATCTACACTTCCGAGTCCTATCTATGTGTATGTCAAGTCCGCTTATAGCCCCCCCCCCACCCCCCCCGCCCTCAGTGTCCTCAGCTCTTCAGCCACCCTCTTGTCCAGCTTCTCCCTGAGTCAAGCAGCTTGAGGCAGCTGGGGGTGCAGCTTGGCACTCTGATGGCCGCAATGAGACATAAGATAGTCTACAATGTATACTATAAGATCAGAAAATAGACCGTGTATATGTTTATACCTCTGATTTGTAGTGTAACTTCAACAGACCTCTCAATTTGCTCTCAATGCATCATGTATGATAGCTGATATGTTATGTACTACAGTTTGCTTTCTTTTGCTATATAAGTTTACTTTCTTTGTGATAACCGCGGCGGCAGCCTTTTCATCCAGGCCGAGGTGCTTGGATTGCTCCATATCGTACCTCTCCTTCGCGAGCTTCTTGGCTGTCGCGAACCTGAGAGAGCCGACTAATTTTGGAGAGCCCAGTACAAACACCACAAGAAGATCTGACATGCCCCGAGCCTAAGTCGCTGCACGGATCCCTTCATGATGGCCTGGATGCGGATCGCCGCCTGCTCCTGAATCCCAAGTCATGATCCGAGCATGGCCCGGTAGCAACACTGCTCTGGTGTCGACACGCCTCTGCGCACCCTTTGCCGACCCCTTACGCAGACAAGGGCCACCCTGGCCTGCGCGCGAAACTCCATGGCGTCGACCTTGTGCCGGTATCCCTGCACCTCTGCGAAGACACTTTTGGGATCGTGGCGCATATCTCGTGGACAGATGTGTTTGCTTATTTTTGATTCGGCCTCTCGCTGCAGCTTCGCCTTTGCGGTGGCTTCCTTTGCCTCGAAGCTCAAAAGGTTTTGCACGTTGGTGCTTTGCCGCTACTTTCACAACGAAGTAGACTCAGAGCGGGCCTTTTGCTCTTCGAGCTTCTGTAGGCGCTCGCGCTCAATTTTGAGCTTGACGGCCGCACGCTTGGAGTACTCCTGAGGACATGGGCACTTCTGCTACAGCCCTCGGTGTATGCCTGCTCGACGCGGAAGTCCAAAACTCCACGGTGCGAAAGGCCAGTGCCCGTCCTTCTCTTCTCGCTCGTGCTTGAGATTCCGCAGCTGAAGCTTGGCACGTCGAACTCGGTATGCGCCCTGGCAATGCATCGGCGAACTTCGTGCCAGCAACTTGTGTTGTCATGCGGCAGCCGAGCACATCGACAGACAAACAGCCCGAGTTTGGGCATGACAACCTTTGGAAGAAAACGGTTCGTTTCATGATCTCATGGCCAATTACTTGGATAGACCTCCTTCGTGGATGATAATTGTGTGCTATTGACTCTGGTCGTCGTCGAACGCAGTCGTTATCATCATCGTAGCAGCTTGAGTAGCAAGTAGGACTGGAAGCAGGAGCTAAGAACAGGCAGTGGCAGTAGTGGTAGTAGTGGTCGCAGTTGTAGTTGTAGTCGCAGTCGCAGTCACAATCCCAGTCGCAGGCACAGTCGCAGCAGTAGTAGTAGAAGTACAAGTAGTAGAAGTAGCAGAAGTAGTAGCAGTCGTAGAAGTAGTAGAGTAGTAGAAGTAGTAGAAGTAGTAGAAGTATGAGTAGTAGAAGTAGTAGAAGTAGTAGAGGTAGTACAAGTAGCAGAAGTAGTAGAAGTAGTAGTAGTAGTAGTAGTAGTAGTAGTAGTAGTAGTAGTAGTAGTAGTAGTAGTAGTAGAAGTAGTAGTAGAAGTAGTAGAAGTAGTAGAAGTAGTAGTCGTCGTCGTCGTTGTCGTCGCCGTGGTCAGTTTGGTGGTGGTGGTGTCCAGAGGGCTGGTTTTGCCCGCGTCCTATGTGGAAGCGTGCGCAGGGCCATGGTTTCCGCAGAAATCTGGAGCAGTAGCAGCGGAGTGGCCCTCCCAGCATCCTTGCCGACCCTTGGGGTCATGACATGTTTCGCCAAACTGTGCTGTCCTTTCCGTTTGCGAAGTTTAACCTTTTCAGAAACCGTGCCAAGAACGACGGCACAAGATGGAATAAGCATCCGAAGACTGTTGAAGCCTCTACCCATCATTGCAAGATGTTGCAAGATGGCCTGTATCCGCCTCGCCGCGCGGGTCTTCTGGATGAACTCGACATCATGCAGCCGCTTCGAGAACGTAGAGACCTTGTAGCTGCGACCACCGTCACTATCTCACCATCACAATCCGACCTTCAACACGCAGTAAAACACGCGGCACGTGTGGGGTGCCAACCTCGCGCTGGCGCCTCTCCTTGCGCCGGAGCTCCTCAAGACGCTTCTGCTCCCTCAGCTGCAGAGCATAAAGCTGTGAGGGGAGTTGGGAATGATCCACAGGTTATGAGCCAACTCCACCATATCGAAACAGTTGTGTGCCGAGTCACTTCCACTCCGCCAGATGCCGTGCCTTGGAGGAGCTCGAACCGCTTTGGGGACTCCTTTGGGATCCTTTGAGTACTTCTCATGGGATCTAGACACAGGCGCAGGCGCGCTTCAGGTCTCGAGCTTTCTGCTTCTCGCGCTTGATGATCCTCAGCGCTGCCAAAACATCAGCTCTTGCATCCACTCGTCGAGCCTTGTCTGACTTGGCCCCAGGCTCCTTCACCTCTGCATAGCGCCTACGAGCCATGCGGCCTCGCCAACGTGCCTGCAGCCTCAGTGGCCACACCGTCGCGTGCAGCCCGGACCGGCCCGGAAAAGCGTTTGCTGCGGAAAGGGTCGCTCAGGTGAAGGCTTGATGACGTACTGGCCCAGTCGCCGGTCCTCCATCTCTGCCAGCAGCTTTCGCATGGCCTGGGACAAGGGCTGCAGAGCACTGCAGAGCGGAAAAACAGCAAGGAATTTGCACCCGGCAGCGCAGTTCAACTCTAGCGGAACTCGCTCGAAATCAGCCATGAGAACAGGTCTCACAACTCTCTCTTTCCCAAGTCCCCGGCACCAACGCCCATCTGCTGAGCACGGAGCTGAGCGCAGGCAAAAGAGTGCATCATGTGTTCTGTGATTTACAATTAGATGATACTGTAGATGTTGTATTTGCCAGTATATGTTGTGACATTTACGACATATACTGGCAAATACAACATCTACTGGTTGACGTGTCCACTTCTACAACATGACCATCCCTTGGACGAAACGATAGATAAACTAGACTGTCACGTGCTTGCTGCTTTCTTTGGGATGTCTCTACATACTACATACTGAGCACGTTTCTTCTGTGGATGTTGTCTACACTTCACGTTTTTTGATGCTCTACGTCTTGCTCCCTGCTGCCGGATAGGTATCTGTTGCTTGCATGTTCACAAAACCTCATGTTGATGGTCTTTGATTTCCTGCAAGAGGCTCTTACCTGCTGTTGCTGCGCAGATGGGCTGGTGGTTTAGCTTTCGCGATGTTTCACGGAACTTCCGGTCCATGCGTTCTGCCGAGTCACTGCTTCTTGTGCCCGCTTCTCCTCTTCCAAACGCCTGCGAGGAGCCGAGCACAGCAATGGATTAAAATCTTATGGCATCCCGGGCGCACATCCCGGCAAAAAAGCCCTCGGATATCAGGCGATGCCTTCTTCGCTCCTCCTCCCTGCGCGCCGCAGCTCTCCGCTCATTGGCCTCCGCCTGCCAGTCTTCCCATGCCTAATCCTACGACGGCCGCATGACGATGCAAAGCCACATGCAGAGCTAGCCACCTCCTTCTTAGCTTTCTCGGCAGCTGCTCGTCGGCGGTCGTTTCGAGCGCGGACTATGGACTCGCGCAGGGAGGCGCCAACATGTCATAAGCGGGCTCATCAAAGACTCCAGGATGCTGAAGGTACTATTCAAGCGAAGCCCACTCTAAATGTAGATTTCACAAGTCTGGCGCAGTACCACAACTTGGCAAGCCCCGAAATAGCTCCCAAACCTTTCCAACTGGCCTGGATCTTCGTGGCATGATACGTCTTCCAGCGAAACTCGAGGTCGCGAATCGCTTCCTCGTGCTGGAACGGCGCTTCGCTTAGTTTTCGTTACGTGGCAGGCAAGCATCCCACCTGGGCTTTGAGCACCTCCTGCTGGCGCTTGCGCTCCTGGACGACGATGGCATGAAGAAACTCCACACACACATGACATGCCTTTAGAATCCACCCGAAGCAACATCACCCGTTTTATGGGAACCCCCCCCCCCCCCCATAACAAAAAAAAACAGAGGGGAGGGCACTGTAATTTTGAGAAACGGTAACAATGACATAGTCAATTCCTCTACGCAACCACTCGGCACCTCGGTCACAAGCCTCTCGGAATCCCTACACAACAAGGGATTCCCTGTCTTCTTCGATTCTTCGTGGAGGTCCTAACGCCTGAACAAGGGACGAAGAGTACCAGTGAGCGAGGTCATCCCAGCTGCCTCGGCTTCGCGGATTGCCTCCTGCCGCCGCTGAGCAGCCTGGGATGGGGGTTAGGGACTCTGTAGTCCTCAATACGAAACCTCAAAACTAGAGTCTCGATATCGAAACTAAGCAGCTTAAAGGTCCTGGAGGGGGGCTTTAACGCAGCATTTTTCGGCTGGGCGGGGATGTTCGGGAACCTCCTGCATCAGATGAACTCTCAACCCTTAGTCCCACGGTCGCTTTCAAACCAGGATCTGAGACAGAAATCCATCTGCCATAGCGGCCTGTCCCCTACAAGGCCCTACAAAAGGGCCCTAAGGCCCCCGAGGCGCCCCCCGGAAGGGGGGGGGGGGGGGGCTAATGTCGAAGAACTCCCCCCCGGCCCTGCTCGCCTCCTCCTGCTTCTTCTTCTCGGCCTCGGCCGCTGCTTTGAGGCGATCCTGGAAGCTGGAAGGGGCGTCTTTTGTTTAGGGTTTCGGGTTGCCGGGTTTAGGGCTTAGGGTTTCGGTTTTCGGCTTAGGGTTTAGGGTTAAGGGTTCGGGGCGGGGGGAGGGTTAGAACTGCTATGAAACTGCCAGCCGCTCCTCCATGAGCTTGCCCGACTTCCGCAGCTTGCGGCCTTGGGGGGCTGGACTTCTGCCGCGGGCTGGACCCAAGGAGCCCAATGCCCCTTAAGTAAGGAATATACCTCGCCTCAGCCTTAAACCATGCAAGGATCCTTATATGATCCAAGGTATATTCCTTGACTAAGGGGTATTGGGCTCTCTTAGGAGAGCCTTTGCTGGTCAACCCGCAATTATTAGAGGGTGCAGAGGCTTTAGAGGGCTCAGGGTGGGTTCGGCAACTGACTAGGTTCACTTACGTAGTAGTCTAATCCGCATATTTATTACTAGGCAGGCTCTCTGTATGCTTGCTCTGCGCTTGATGGTGCTTGTTTCGCTCTCCTACTTCATCACCCCAAGCTCTCGCAAGCTAGGGTGCCCAGACAGCTTGGACAGCATGAGGTGGTTTCAGCTGTGCCGTGACCCATGAAGCCAACAGCATCGGGACAATGTTCAATGAACGCCACTAACTACTAAGCAGGTCTCACATCCTAATAATCAACATAACGCAGAACAATTAATTATAAGAATTTATAGCTAATTAGCATTGCTTATTGATATACAATTGGGTATTTTAGTTCAGAATAGCAATAGAAACGGTTCATAACAACCCAAGTGCGTTGTTCAGAGATGCTCTGAGTGCGCGGGCGCTCCAGCTGCCCTCGGAGTGCCGACTGTAGCCTTCTGCGCGAAAGCTCCGGCAGGAGGGAAGAGCTGCAAACACCGCCAGACCCCACCAGAGACGAGGCCGAAATCCCGAGATCCTGATAAAAACCTCCGAAACCCTTCGCCTCAGGGCCGCCAGCTCACGCTCCCGGCGCTCCAAGTCCTGCTTCCCCGAAGGACAAGGGGGAGGACTGGGTTCGAGGTGAATTTGAGGGCTCATGGCTTGGAGCTTGAAGGGTTTGTGGACGAGTTTAGTTCAGTTTGGGCGACGGGCTTGTCCATCAGCGCGACGCGCTCGCGCATGGCTGCCACCTGCGCCGGAGGGGACAGGCGCCATGCCAAAGCAGTCGTTACTCTGAAGCTCTCGTGCAAAAACGTCTGGCGTGTCTAAGCCCCGCAGTTCAGACAAAACCGAACTCAAGCTCGGATATGTCACAGCACAGCTCAAAAATTTCGCTGCCTGAACACAGGAACTTCCCGAATTAGGTTAAGGCTGTTTAAAGGGAGAACGTCCGCCCTTCAGTTCTGCCTCTTCCGGTCTGTTTTCCCATGCGCCTCTGCATCCCAGGCCTTGCGACGGGCCTGCTTTGCCTCCAGCACCCAGCGCTCCTGGCAACAGCCACTGCAGCACGTGTCCCCAGCACGATACTCCGAAAAACATAGTTCCTAGTTTGTTCAATGCTTTTGGTTGAACTGCTGGCGGAAGTTCATGCTGCGCTGGAGGATGCACAACAGCTATGGCAGACCACGCTGCCAGCAGAATGAATCAGAGCAAATTTGAGCAAAACGGCTTTGATTCCTTTCATGTGCGACTGGTCGCCATGTCCAATCCCAGCCCCAGCCTGGCGTTCGACCCAGGCACGCTTCCGCGCCTTTGAAGCAGCGCTTGTCATCCAAAAAGTCTGGCTTCGACGGGATCTGAACTCGAAGTAACTATTCACATAGTATAGGGATTTCGCCTCTGCCATCTTCTGTTGCCTACTGATTGCTACTGCTACTGCGACTGCTACTGCTACCGCTACCGCTACCGATACCGCTACCACTACTACGACGACGTGTTTCCCCGACTCTGGCACATGAACCCTGAACTCTGCAAAATCTTCAGGCCTCCTTGGCGGCCTCGCAGTCGCGCCGGTGCTGCGCCATCCGAGCTGCAAAGTGCTTCCGGGCCATGGCCTGGAGTTCACGTAGGCAGGGGAGGGGAGGGAGTTCAAAGGCGAAGAGCTGTGCTAAGAGGCGCAGTGCCACTGCAAGGTGTGTCAAAAATCACGGCTTCAGATCTTCCCTGCCCTGGGTGGCGCGCGCCGCGGAAGTGTGCCTGCATCTTTATGGCCTCAGGACAGGGTTGCATGGTGACCACTGAGCAAGAAAACGATGCTTGTGACGCTGCTAACACTAGACCGACTAGACCACTAGAACCCGCTCAAGATCCCAACGTCTGACGCGCTTAGCCCCAAGAACGGAGTCGAGCCGGGTAAAGTAGCAGGAATGGGGAATCGGAGGAACGACGAGTGAGCTTTAAATCCTCCTTTGCTAGAACGACCCCAAGAACAGAAGCCTGCATTCCTGTCCAATAGCCCAGAAGGCGAGCTGCTGCTCTCTCCCGCCACTTGCTCCACACATCTCGAAGTATGGCTTCCTTAGGCGGGAGCTTCGAGAAAGGTTTTGTAGCTAAGTATGTCTTGGCACCGCGTTTGGGCGCAAAGGCTCCCATATGGAACCCAAACCTAGTCATGAATCCGAGCCTGCACTTGGAGTTGAAAACTCCAAGTCCGAAAATGTCAGCATCTACACAAGTGGAGAAAGTAGAGCAAGAACCGTCTCCTCAGGCCAGCTAGCGGTTGCCAAGAGGCTGTGGCGGAGATCTCCTTGAGCCTTGCAGCAAGCCGCTCGCGCTCCTTGTTCCTGCAAATAATTTGGAAACCGCATGACTGCATGAACAGCGTTCTTCGACTTTCTGGCCACCACAACAGTTAAATCCACCTAAAAACCCCAAGAAACCCTAAAACAACCCTCAACCCTCACAACCCCAAGCCCCCCCCCCCCCCCCCCGCCAAATCGTTCTCCTGGCGATCTTCTCTGCCGCCTCAGCGAGGCGCTGCTTGGTGGCCTCGAGCTTTGCGCGCCTTGGGGGGCGGGCTCGGAGAAAACAGGGGACCCTGAAAATAGATCCCCAAGTACAAGGATTTCCTTTTAAATTCGGAAACCCCCCCCATGTCGGTTTAGGGTTTCGGGTTTACGAGTTTAGAGTTTAGGATTCGATTTAGATGGACATGTCTCAGAAAATACAGTTGCTTCAGATGCTTTAGACGCTCCGATGGCCATGCTGCTTTTTTGCAACCGAGGAATTCTGTCGCGGCGCTAGTGATCGAGAAGGCAAGTGCCGGTAAGTGCCAAACCCCCCACAAGGAACCACGTGCACCCAACGTATTCTGTGGGGATACGCTGGGGCATTCTCTCTGGGATTGGGCACTCCAAGGATTTTGTAGAAGACTCTAGAATCTAGAATTACTCTGAGGTTGGGCACTCCAAGAATTCTCTGGATACTCTGGGGTTGGGCACTTCAGTGACTTTTTGAAATTTCTCTGGCGTTGGGAACTCCAGGGACTTTGGGGGAGAATGTGCACTCCAGGATTCTCTGCAAAATTCGCTGCGGTTTTCTGGGTCTCCAGGGATTCTGGAATTTGCTGGGGGTCTTCTGAGGTTGGGAACTCCAGGGTGGTGGTGGGCGAGGAGAGGAGAAGAGTGTTGCTCGAGGGGGCAAAAATGGTACCATAATTCACAGGACCCTTCGTGTCTATCTGGCCGTATCAGGAACACCTGCGAGCGTTCTGGGCCGCAGGCTCGATATCTTTCAAGGCTTTGAGAACTCTGCGAGGACCGCGGCCCCTCCACACTGCCTCCGAAGAGATGCAAGTTAAGAATGGTGAGGGTTACGGGATGCCTTGACCGAGCTTTCTAACCCTGAACCCTGGACCCTAAACCCTAAACCCTACACCCCATTACTGGTACGCTCACCGAAGGCTACGAGCTTCGCTCCGTTCCTGGGTGCCTGGAGGAAGCGCGCCGCCTCTGTGGCCATGAGCCGCTGCATCAGCTCACGGCACTTCTCCACTTCCTCTTTGCCTTAACGGGGTCGACGTGCGTGCTTGGGAACTCATAAGAGTAATGATTGTTTTAAGTGCTATGACTAGCGGCAGCCGCATTCGTCGTAGTTGTGGTAATTCTTGAGGTTCAGCTACGTTCAGGTTATTTCAGGTTCAGATCCGTGCGAGCAAGGCTCTGAAGGCCTAGAGTACATGGGATCCTCTGAAATTATGGGCCCTTTCTTAATACCCTCTTATATTCTACCAAGGTCCCCGCCTTATTGTAGGAGCCCAAAAAGGAACCACGGTTTGGAGAACCTCCCAGTGCAAACGTTGTACCAACCCGGGCACCCTGTGGACCAAACTTTAACATGAACACTAAACAGACTATTATTCACAGTATCCTATGGGCCATAGTGTTTGCAGTAGAAGAGAGTACGCACGGGACTATACATGATGCCCCTACACAATAAACTCACACCCCAAACCCCAAACCCTAAACCCTAAACCCTAAACCCGAAACCCTAGTCCCTAAACGGCCCTGTTTTTGAGTTCCTCCAGGGCTGCCAAGCTGCGGGCTTTACCATCCAGCTTTGCATTGTTGGCGAAGAAGCGCCGCGGGTTCAACTTGGGATCCGCCTTCCCCTTCCTGGAATCGATACCACGGTAGGCCCGGCAGGGTTTAGGGTTTGGGGTTTAGGGTTTGGGGTTTAGGGTTTAGGGTTTAGGGTTTAGGGTTTAGGCGGAGTAGGGTTTAGGGTTGAGGGTTCGGCTTTCTCAGGACTTCTGTCGAGTCACTCGTTTGCTGTCGCTCCCTAGTACAGGCGAGAGGCATGAGACGGTCGGCTTCTTCAGCCATCGCGCGTTCTCTTTCCGCCCGCTCCCTGTGGATACTGTGGACACTGTGGGCAGCAGTACAGCAAACTGTGGGATCTCTTCTTCGGTAACTTCTACTTTTGGGTGAGAAACTGTGAGAACACTCTGCGCACATGCCAGAGGCGCCTCTCTGCTGCCTCTCTTTCCTCGCGCGCTTGCACGTCCATCTCCTCTTGCATCCTCCGCATGTCCTCCTGAAACAAAGGCGAGACCGCCAAGCTGCAAAGCCTAGCAGCATCCAGGAGCCTCTTCTTCCCGTCGCTTCTTCTCCGAATCCTGCTGCTTCCGCATGGCCTGGCGGCTTTTGGCTCACACAGAACAAACATGAACAAACCCTGTCAACGTACTCGTGTACTCCTTGCTGCATTTACAATCTAGAACCACGTTTCACAGCATGTTTCACAGCATGGGTTGCTTGCAAGCGTCTTGGTACTCTGTCTATGCGTGCGTGGCCGTGTGCGCGTCTCTGTGTCTCGGTGTGTCTGAGGGGGTGGGCTGGCAGGCGGGTGAAAGTGTGTGTTCGCTGCAGACAGGCACCATGCGCAGCGCAAAGATGCCAGTAGCATTTAATCGTCCTTCATCAAACTTTAGACAACCTCTTCAAAAGATGATACAGGCCCTTGATTGCCTTGATTGCGACAGCCGTTTAAGCCTGTGTCAATCACCCCAACGCGCATGTATGGCCACTTGAAACCTCAAACATCCGATGCCCTCAAACATCCTATTGAACCCGAACCCTTCTGGGGCCGCAGCTGCCCCGCGCTTGTCGCGCTGCCTCTGCTTTGCCTCCTCGCGCCTCGTCTGCTCTGCCTGCGTTTTCGGGAGCCTTAAGTTGGGTTTAAGGTTCAAAGTTCCGCGGGAGGAGGGAGGGGAGTGAGGGAGGGGTCAGGGCTTTCGAAGGTTTCGTAAGGCTTCGCTTTTGCGGCCAGGCTTCGGAAGATCATACAAAACAGAGTTCCTGAACTGCACTGAACCCTAAAAAACTTATAGTTGAATTTCACACCCTGCCTCGGCAAACTCCTGTTCTGCCCGCAAGCGCTCCTCCTCCTTAGAAGAAGAGACGAAGAAAAGAGGAGAGAGAGGCAGAGTGGCCCGCATAAGATAGACGCACTTAAGAGAGGAGGAGGGTTATAGTGGGCTTGCGGACCCTCAAAACCCTGAACCCCAAAGACTGCAAGGCAAACCATGCGGCAGGGCTTTCGAAGCACCCGAAGTCTGCAGAAAAGATGTATTTCTACATGCGATTGTTAGTGGCGTCTTCTTGTTCGTCCTACGATTCTTACTAGTGGCCCGAGTCGACTTTCTCCAAAATATTCTATTGGTGCTATGGCTATGGTAATTACTCTTATTGCCAAGAGGAAGCCATGCCACGGCCCGCTGCATGGCCAACTCCGCCTTTTTCCGCTCCTTGCAAAAGGAGCAGTCGCAGACAAGCTGCGAACTTTCTTTAAGGCTTTAGGGTTTGTGGGGTGCAATATTGTGCGTATGTCACTCACAGCCACCATGCATTCCAAAAAAGAAGACAGCGAGATTGCAACTGCTTGATGCCGCCCATCCCTACAACCGCGGAACCGCACTTCTGAAAGAGAGCCCCATCGCACGCGCTCCTCCGCCGTTTTCTGGCGCTCACGCTCTGCCTTCTTGCGGCCTGGCACTTCAGCAGGTGAGGGCACAGGGCTTTTTGGCATCATAATGCGATATCATGCGATCTTCGGCATCCCAGTACAAGTGCCTGCTTCATTCTGGTAAAGTGCATCCTCTGCCGCCTTGCGGCTTTGCTCCATGAGGGAGACCGGATCCTCTGAAGTCCAAGCAAGACCGCAGTCTTAACCGAAACTTTTAAAATGACACTCCGAACAGCAAAGGAAGCGCGCCCCAACATGCTGCAACTGAGTCCTCCTCCTCCACTTGGTCGTGATCCCCCTCAGCAAGGCCAGAGCCAAACCCATCTGGACCCGTCTGAATCCCCAACTCCCACACAACGGACCACGGTCTCCGGGTGCGTGACAAAGGCATCCGCGACAAGGGCGGGCCCAGGGCTGGCTGAGCGGCTGCGCCTTCGTCGCCGCTTTTTTGGGCTTCGGGATTCTTTAGCATTTGCCGGGATGTAACGGTTTCTATTCGGGGTTCAGCTGCCACTTAGTAAACCTCCTGCCAAGGCACCAAGAGGGCTGCGATCGCTGTCCCGAACTGGCTGCATGGGGACCTGGGAAGTCTTGAAGCATCTACGCTGGTTTTGTAGCTCGATAAGATCGAGCTGTTACTCCTGATGCGAGCCCAGGCCCCGGCTGGTCGGATCATACAGGGTGGGCGCTGTGTCGTGCACCGGGCTGGCGTCCTTCTGCCATATAAGCCGTGCATTGCCCTCCCACCTTCCCCCGCCGCAATCAGCGCCCAACCTGGCTCATGGGGCCCGGCAGGGCGCCTGAAGCAGTTGAGAAACGGAAGCTGCGCGAAATGAGAAGCACACTTGCCCGGTGCAAGTATCTGAGTATCTCTTTTCTGGGTTCATTAGACTGCGGACCATGCCCCAAGGCCCTGGATTCACGATGATTCACAAGCGAACCAGTTCTCCGGACAAGTTTTGGGAAAGGAACGACAACAGAAGACGGCCGAGCCGAGCACGCTGCCTGGTACCGGTACAAGCGCGGGGCGTACGTAGTTGGGAGTGTAGTTCCGGTCAGGCGGCACAGCACCTCAAGCACAGCAACCCGGAGATCTGCACAGTCCAGATCTGCACAATCCGAAAACAATCCGCGCATCTACCTGCGTAGACCGTCCCCCCGCAAGTGCATGAGTATGACGAGCACAAAACAAGCAAACAGCCGCTATCACCTGGTCAATCTTCCGTTCTCATACGCAAGCCCGGCCTGGTCTCGCCCAATCACGTTGTGTCACGGGGTCCTGTGCGAACGGTACACCACAAGGACGTCACAAGGACACGCAACTTGTGCCTGCACTGTGCTCGCAATCAGTGTGCCCTTGCCACAGCCATGAGACAATCCCGATGCAAGGTCCAGATCAAATCGCGCCACATCGGGCCGCGAATGCCCTGGGCTCCAGTTGCGAGCTGTCCTCGGGTCCCAATGCACTGGGAAGCTGGGAGCAGATCCACCCGCAACCAGGCGGCTGTGCCTACGTGACGTGCCAGCAGACGCATGGCAGGCGGCGAGCATGCAGCGCACATGCTGGCAAGACTCATGACAGCCGACGGGTCCAAGTGGAAACGGCTTGCTTCGGGTGCAGCGAAGGTACCGTCCCCTGCCAGGCAACAATAATCTGAAGCATAGTGGTTCGCAGTACAGGGTATTTGGAGTTAGGCATCTATCCTACATTGTCTCCCAGAGATTCTTGCTGGCAGAGCTGCTGGCGCTTCTTTGAACCCTGTCATAGGCTTATTTTAGTTGAGGGATATCTGGGCACCTGCTTCTGGCGGAAGGCTGCGGCCGCCGAAGGGGACGAAGCTCACCTTGACTGACTGCGTTCCACCTTCTATATGCCACCCTAAACCCAAAACCCCATGCCCTTGAAGCCTGAGCTCTGGCGTCCACCCCAAACCGACCCACTACCATAGACCCTAAACAACATCATTGAGCCCTAGAGGCCTCAACCTCTCCTCGGCCCAGGTGCCGTGGGCCCGGGTGGTGCCGTGGCGCCGCTGCCTGGTCCTCGCACCACAGGAGGTGCTGCCTCGAACAACAACCCACGCGTGTACATGTATATGTGAAAGTGTACACGTACATGTGAGCGCGTGCACGCGTGCAGCTGCAAGCTGATGGGTGCGCGTGCGCGTCGCGCGGGCCGCCGGCCAGGCCTCCGGTGCGGCCGCGCGCGGTGGCGTTCCGCTCCGGAGCCGCTCGCGCTGCTCGCGGCGCTCCTGGGGCTTGAGGGGTTTCGGGTTTAGGGTTTAGGGTTTGGGGTTTTGTTGCTTTTCCAAGGGAACCCAGAACCCAAAACGAGCAAATGGGCACCACTCGGCTACCAGTAAGAAATAGACTTGTAGGTGCTTACGGGGTTTAAGCCCGAGGGGCTTGGAGGGGTTTGCGATGGCTTGAGTCGGGATGTTGTTTGCGGGGCTTGGGGACTTATAGGGTTCACGGCTCAGGGCCGTGGAATCGGGTTCTGGTCAGGAGTTGTCGGGGGTTTATGGGACTTTCAGGGTGTGTAGTGCTTGCATAGGGCTTCTTAGAGCAGGGTTTTTTTTTGGGAAGCTTCCGTGGCTTTCTTTATGGGGCTGCTCGAAACAGTCTAGGGCTGCATGCTTGATGGAGAAAATGGGCAAAGGGCAAAGCATTGATCTCTTCGCCGCAATAATAGACACACAAGCTAAGCGCGAAGTGCAGGAGACCCTGTGTCCTAAACCCCCGTGGAGCCAGGGAGCGATCAGTTGCTGCACTCGCTGCTCCAAGGCCCTGCTTCGGAGGACCTCTCCTCACAGCAGCTTTGAAGGCTTAGGAGGTTTAGGGGGTTTGGGGGGTTTGGAGTTTAGGACCGAAGGTTGAGGGGTTTTCTGTCTTGTTCTGGGTCGAGGTTTTAGGCGGTCACCAGAGCCCCAGGGCAAGGGGCGCCCTGCAAAGTTTGCAGCCTGGCCTTCGCTCATGCCGTGCGGATTGCGGGAGAGCTCCGCCAAGCTGTATTCCAGCTGCTGCCGCTGGCGTGCCACCTGCCAGCTAGAGCTCATGACAACCTCGCGGCGCTGTGGTGACAGCGCCGCCCGGCCTGTCGCTCGTGCATCTGCATGGCACCTGCCTGGGTCTGCAGAACATCGCTGTAAGTCCCAGTGTGCTTGCCATTCGGCAGCATCTCATCCTCCCACCTGCAGCGAGATCCAGTAGCTCAACTAACTTCTACTGTAGGTGTTTCTCAGTAATCTTCGAAGCAATGCCCGGATCCTTCCGCACCGCCAGTGTGCGTGACAGCGACAGTTCCTTTACTTCTCTTGCGCACTTTTCCGAGCACCAAAATGTTCCATGACCCCCTGGTCCCCCTAAACCCAAAAAAACCCAAAACCCAAACCCCAAGAAAGGACGCCTGGCAAGGCGGCTGCGAGGTGGAGCTCCAGCGGATACCAGCGTCTCCTCGCGTGCACTTGTTGTGGCCTTTAGGATTTGGGGGGCTTTTGGCTCAAATTGTGGACCGACTTGGGTGTTACGGGGCTACCGGGTGTATGGCTGTGTGCGTAGCTTGCCCAGGGCTTCACAAGTGGGTTCCAAATCTGCTTGCAGCCTTTTAGAACACCTTCAACAACGAGGGCTTAGGATGGTTCAGGGCATCGAATCAAGCCCCCTCCTGCGCGCCCGGGGTCTGCGGCTTGCGCGCTCGAAGCTGCGCCTGGTAGAGTTCCAGCAAACAGCTCAGATTCAGGCTCGAAAGGAGAGAAAGGATGGAAACAAGCAAGTACTTTGTGGCTCTTCGGGGCATATTTAATTTATTTCGTACACCACATCGGTCAGATCTTTGACTCGTGACGACGAGGGTACTTGCGTCTTCGCACCGGAGAAAGTTGGAAGTCTGCCTTGCGCTTCGGTTGGCGATCCATCTCAACCGAGGCATCGATGCGGGAACCATGTACTTATTGTAATTTCCAACTCGAAACCCTGAATTTCGGACATCTAAGCCCTAAGCACCCAAACCCTCGAACCTGAAACCAGCCTAACAACCTCAAGCAATTGCTCCCCCACTTTGCCCTGCCTCCAGAGAGCGAAGCTGCTCCTCAGGGGGGTTCTAGCAATCTTAAGTGCGACTTTTTCTCTGATGCTTGCAGGCGCCTTGTTGTAGGGCTCAGACGGGGGTTTGGGCGCAATACCAAAGTATGGCTCGCGAAGACGCAAATGGTGCTAGGATATGCTATAGGTGCTTCTGCCGTTCCAGGCTCCTGCACGAAGCTGTCCTCCATGTCCAGGGACCGCAGCCTGGGGGAAGTGATGGGTTCGATACTAACAACTGTGTGGTATGCTGTTACAGCCTCAGCGTCACAGCATCTTATGCCAATACAGATGCTGCACACTACAAGTAGCATCATCAATCACACCGCAAGTCCCTGTACTTGTAACAGCTGCCAAAAGCTCATTAAGCCAATCCTGCACAATCAAATCGAAGCCGCCTTGCGATGCAATAGAAAACCATTGGAGTCCCATTCTGCCTTGCTTAAGCATAATGGGAGAGCATGGCAATCTCTAGTCCAGCTGAGAACACGCGTGGGCGGAAACCCTAAACCCCAAACCCCAAACCCCAAACCCCAAACCCCAAACCCTAAACCCTAAACCCTAAACCCTAAACCTCACTAAGTCACCCAAGAAGCTCATCCTCCAGAAGCATGAGCTGCTGCTTGACGAAGGTGTCGTAAGGATCACGTGACAGCGGACCGAACGGGAAGTGAGCCGTGCTGGTCGGAGACTCCTCCTGCACGAGCAGGTTGTTGCAACTTGTTTATAACCCTAAACCCTAAACCCTAAGCCCTAAACCCTAAACCCTAAACCCTAAACCCTAAACCCTGTACCTCACTTTGGTCCTCCTCCTGGGGCAGTGGCGCCATTCGCCCCATGGTTTGCTGCGCCCACGCACTCGGCGAGTCTGCAACCTCATGTCCTGGGCAGCAACGCTCACTTGGCCTCCTTGGTCTTACTCTTTCTGAAGAAGAAGAAGAAGGAAAACAAAAAAAAACGACACGGAAAGTCTCCTCCAGGCTCCGGCGTGGGGGCTCGCGCCGCCCCAACTGCCTGCAGCCCGGGCTGCGGGGGCGGCCCCGCCATGGCGGCATGGCACCCGCGTGAGGTTTGAAAGCCACCTGGTTTTTGCTGTCGCGCTAAACATCGCACAGAATGATACAGAATGACTTTTCCATGCCACCGAATTTGGCTCAGCCGGACAAGTTCATGCTGTAGCCTGGCTGGTGGCTGACCAGACTTGCTGGCTGCGCAGGGGAGCTTGCACCGAAATGTTGCGAGTTTCCCATATCATCTGGTGCCAACTGAATCCTGCCTGCCATCCCCTAACTATCCCTCTTGCGCAAGCTTCCACTTGCTTGAAGCTGTCCAAGACAAGAAACCTCTCTTTCAAGTTGTGTTGCTCGTGTGATGGTTCATTATTGCGGTCATGACACACTCTTTTTCATCTTTGGCTCTAAGGATCACACCAAAATCCACTGGCCACACATGTGCGCGGCGCAAAATAGGCTGTAAGCCCGGCCCAGGGCGGGAATGCATTTACTACTCTTCACGGGCATGCGGCTCGCTGCCGCAGTCGATGCCACCGCACCATTACAGCAGTACGGGAACCCTTTGGTTTCCAAAGCGGCTGTTCCATTCGCTCACAGCAAAAAACACAGCTGCACGGAATCTCTGACGCGGAATCCCGCGGAAAGCTCCCGAATTCCGTAGCGGGTCACCACTTCGCCGCCTGCACAGCCAAGTTCTCAAATTTGCGAGTTCTACTTCTACCTCTAGACTCTGGACTCAACCGAACAGCAGGGGGATAACGGCAACAAACGCTACCTAATTTTTGTCCGAAAGCATTTCAGCGGAAGTGGCCTTTGAGAAGGTTCTTCGTCATGGTGAATGCATGGATGGATGTCGTAATGGATGGCGTGATGGATCTCGTGGTACGTTGGTAACTTTTATGTCTTTAAGCAGGTCTATGGGACCCGCCGGACCTCCTAAAAATTGCGCTGGCGTTTGGAGCGTCGCAAATGCTGGCTACGATCGACAACCCGGTGTCGTGACGCTGGCGCGTGGAGCATCCGCGAAATTCTGGCTACGATCGACAACCCCCTCGGTGGCCCCGGCGTGCCATGACACTGGCGCGTGGAGTGTCCACGAAATTCTGGCTACGACGTGGCACGAACGGTGTTCGTGGGGTGTGGGAGGCTGGCCTGCAAATTGCGCTTGCGCATGGAGAGTCCTCGAAATTCTGGGCGCGATAAACCCTTTCGGTGGACCCGGCGTGTCCCGCGATGGGTCGCCGTCATGGCGCGCGGTCGAGATTCTCGACACGAACGACAACCCTCTCGGTCCTAGGTGGACGCGGTGTGTCGCGGCGCTGGCGCGCGGAGCGCCCTCGAAAGATTCTGGCCGAGAATTCGGCGCTCACGGAGTGTCGAGGCGCCAGCCCGCGTGGAGCTTCTCCGTGCGGCGCCAGACGCCAGATCCGTGGAGCCAATGGGGAGCGGAGTCGTCTTTCACGGCCAGAATGTTGAAGACGGTTTCACGCGCCTGCAGCCTCGACGCGCCGAAGATGCTCCACGCGTCAGCACCATGCCGCGGCGTGTCAACCGAAAGGGGTGTTGTTGGCGGCCAGAGATTCGAAGACGCTCCGCGCGCTAGCACCGCGACACTCCGTGAGCACCGAGTTCGCGGCCAGAATCTTTCGAGGGAGCGCTGGAAAGATTCGAAGTGTCCTCGAAATTCTTGCCACGGACGACAGCCCACTCGGCGCTCACGCGGCGTCGCGGAGCTGACCGCTCAGCCGGCTTAGCTGTCATGGCCAGCTGGGCCACTGTCTCGAAAGATGTCATCCACAGACATCGACGACGCAGTTGCGAAGCAAGGAAGGTGTGTAGCAGAAGAAGGATGAGGCCTCCAACGCTTTGCCATCAAGAGGCAGAAGCGGTCTCTTTGCGACCCTGGCTTTTATCCACCTTACAAAAAAACAATTAAGATGCTGGGCAAGCATTTCCGGCAGGCGACCTTGGCCAGGACAAGGCTCTGGGTGCTTGGGCTTGGGCGGCAAATTTCGCGATCCTTGTTGGCCGCATCTGCAGGCAAAGGTCGAGGCCTCGCGTCCGCCACGGCAACAATCTCAGACCAAGCGACGTCCGCAAGGCAGGCAAGGCCATCACGGAACGCCAGGTCCACGAACTTTAAGATCGAATAAGGAAGCGCCAGGACTCTCGGCCGGCACGGAGGCAACTCCAAGGCAGTCTGGCCAACCAAACGTACCACCAAGTGACGACATTGAACGTGGTGGGTGGCAAGTCACAAATCCGGGATCAACGGGGGCGGGTTGCTTCACGGCGGCTTCGGGCTTTCCGAGCAATCCATTCCTCGGCGTGGCGCCCTCGATGGAGCCTGTCCAGAAGCTTGCAGGCATCCGAGGAGTTTCCTTCCAGCGTGGCAACGACTTGGCGAGGGCTGAGCCGCTGTGCCTGTGTTTCTTGAGTCAAAGAAGGCCGTCCGTGTGATCAAGGTTTCTGGGGAGGCTGGAAGACTTGCTGCGACTCCCATCGTGGACAGCCAGAAGGACGAACGAAAGAGAAAAAGAGAGAAAGAGAGAAAGAGAGAAAGAGAGAAAGAGAGAAAGAGAGAAAGAGAGAAAGAGAGAAAGAGAGAAAGAGAGAAAGAGAGAAAGAGAGAAAGAGAGAAAGAGAGAAAGAGAGAGGGAAAAAAAGAAAGAGAGAGAGGGAATAGAGAGAGAGAAGAAAGAGAGAGGCAAAAAGAGAGAGAGAAGGGAGAAAGAGAGAAAGAGAAGAGAAAAAAAGAGAGAGAGAACCGGAATGTCAGCTTCCACATGGGCCGAACTCATGCCATCAACCGTCAAAGGCGGCTCCGAAGAGCCGAAGCATGTCGATGAGGTGACAAGAAGTACTCAAACGCCTTCCCAACTCCAACACCAAATATGTGGGCTTACGAACATAGGGGACCGCAAAATATAGACCCCCCAAATAGTAGGATCCCTTCTGAAGAGGACTCCAATAAGGAACCCCCCCCCCCCCCCCACATCGCAAAAAAGAAGAAAGACGAAGGAACGCACCTTGGCCGAGGTCTGATCCCCATGCTCTCCTGCCGACCGCTTCCATCCTCCCTGGGCCGGGGGATGAGGCCTCCCCCCCCTCTTTGGATCTTTGTCCATGTTTACTATTCGTCTTGGTGGTTCTGTTGTACGAGTACCTGTTGAGGTATGGAAGCTCGGGCCTAAGCCTCCGGAGTCGGAGGGTTTAGGAGTGTAGTAGTTACAAGGATTTCGGCAGTTTAGTAAAGGGGCCCATGGCGAGCAAGAGTTGTCAGGCGATCGTGGGAGGAGCTGAAATTTGGGCACCTCCTCTGCTCTTGTTTGGGAGGGGTAAAATCGGAGGCTATGTAAGGGTTCGGATGCTCCGGTCGGAACTACATGCACCGGATCTTGAATCACAACTGTAGGCCTTGCACACAAAACCTAAACCTCTAAATCTAACTCCCAAATTTGTAGTGTCCGTGAGTTTGTGGGTCCGTGGCCTCGTTGTTCTTCCAAGAGTCCTCTTTCTTCCACCATTCATCTTTGCTATCGTTCTTCGACCACTCGTCCTGGCCAGTAGGCAGAGCAGGGCACATATGTGTGTTAGCGTCCCTCACTTGGCCCCGAGCGCAGCAGGCTTAAGTATCAACATGGATAGGTCCTTCTTGTTCCAACCGTTCGAGTCGTTCCTGAGTGGGCCGCAACATATCATGCGCCTTACAACCAGCTTTGCTGTGCCAAGATCTGCACTTCTGCCACTCATCCTCCTTCTTCCAGCTGCTGTCGTCCTTTGCTGCAGGCTGAATGATTCCGTCAGCAAATGATTCTCTCAGAAACCTCCTCTCCCACAGTGGGTGGACTATCAACGGCTCTTGGACTTGCATTGCCAGTCGTCCTTCTTGTCCCAGCTTTTGTCGTCCTGCTTCCAATCGTCCTCCTTCTTCCAGTCATCCTGAATGTTTGTGCAGTTGGCAAGTATCAAGGCTCCGCATCACCAAAGGCTCAGGAAGCACAGCGCGGGTGGCTGCAGTGAACGTGATGTAGCTCCTCACCCTCTACTGCGCACAGGCTGTAACTGGGTCCTTCTTCCAATCATCACCCGCATTTTTCTCCAGCTCCTACGGAAAAGTCGGACTGCACGGCATGAAAAGCACGAGTCAGAAGGTCTCCCCAGAACCTACAAAAACCCTAGACATCCCAAAGCACGAAACCCTAGAAGGCCCTAGACATCTGAACTCGTCTTCGGTGCCTGAACATCCTCCGGGACGTCCTGGCTGGCCTGGTGGGTCCGAGAGCTGGCAGCTTTGGGCTTGGGATGTTGGAGTCATCAACCATAACCAAAAAATGCAAGACAATACAATACGATGCAATGCAGAACAATACAGTACACTACGATACGATACGGTACGCAATGTGTTCTCGTCCCTTACCATAATATATAGTAGACAGACATGCGTGCATACATACGTACAATATGCAAACAGAAGGTATACGTATACGACTAATATAAGTCAATTTAGCATGTAGCTTACATCAATTGGGGTACACAAATAGGGGGTGCAGACAACGAATATACGTCAAACTGGTCTTATGTAGTTCGTATCAAACTGAATATACAAATAGGAGGTACCCCTATCTAGGGAGATGCCCAAGTTGGCTTTTTGGGGATCTTGGAGCCTAGGTCTGCGACCAGCCATGATCAATGAAGCCGGGGCCTTGCGCATCATCTGGGCGATGTATTTGGCTTCGCTTTCGTTGCCCCACTTCAACCTCAGCAAAAATATGTATGTACAAATCGAGAGAGAGAGAGAGGGAGAGAGCGAGAGAGAGAGAGAGAGAGAGCGAGAGGGAGGGAGAGAGAGATAGATCATCAGTATAATATTAGCAAACATATATAAATATGAATATGATGTATACATACATCTAACATCAATATCGTATAAGCATACTCTTATATACTTCTATGTTACATATGATATGAGCGGCTGACAAAACCGTGTGTTCAGTGAACGTTGTGCAACATGCTTGGTGGGCCCCACCGCTCTTCGAGGATGCACCCCTACAGATACAGACTGCCAGGAGCCCGACCGTAGCACTGTGGGGTGGGCCCCTATCACTTTGCGAAGTACGAAACCCAGACGGCATGCGCAACATCAACACAAGATGGGACTACAATCGTTTGTCCGGTGGGCTCATATGCCCTTTCCAGAAAAAAGAGTGCAAGAGTGCTATATAAGATGGCCCGGCACTGCCCCCAAGACGGGCTGCTGGCAGGAGCGTGTAGGCCTCGCCGGAGTCCTCGGCTCGGCCTGCTTGACATAGGTCCGAAACTTAAAGCCTCCGATATCCCTTCGACAACTTCAAAACACAGTAAGGTCACGTCCCAAAGCATCCGTGGGAATCCCTAGGCATCCCGGTCCACCCCTGAATCTGCTACTTGTGCAGCTCTCTCTTCCCGCCTGTGCGGCCTATTCTGTGGACGTAGTCCTCGGCCGACTTTGGGGCCTCAGCACGACCATCACGGATTACTGGGAGTGGCCTTAGCGGCGTCTTAAATGATGGCACCTGACGGGAAACACGAAGAGACACGGCTTGGTATCGGCGCAACTCATGACGGCAAACTCAAGACCAGCGCAACATATTGCGATGAAACTTCCATTGCAAACCTCAGAGCACGACGTCGTAGTTGACGACAGCAGCGATGGTCCGCACGTCGAGTCCGCCTAGGAGACCATATGGGCCGCAAAACCCCACAACAGCCAAACCAAGTACTGGCCATGATCAGGCTTCCCTTCTGCTTTTCAACCATCTTCCTACCTGTGATTCGGGGTTCTGCGGCTTCTGTGCCGAACCGGAATCTCAGGCGATGGCGAGAGGCGAGGTCGGTTGCCACACAAACTCGCACCTGTTCAAGCCGAGGCACAAAAGGACGGGATTCTAGGGTTCAAAAGGGACGGGGGGGGATTCATGGGGGGGTAGGTACCTAGGGATCCTAAGAACCCTAGAACGGGAGCCATGCGAGCACGGCGATCTGAAAGTGCACCTCTCCCGACTTGAACTTCCACAGGGCGTTATCGCGCCCTCTCTGGTCAAGGTCGCCGTGGAGCTCTGTGGCCGGCATGCCTGTACACCGGTTCGGCGGCTCTTGCAACTCGTCGCCGGCACGGGACCACCACTTTAGAAAGAGAGAGAGAGAGAAAAAAAAAAAAAAAAAAAAAAAAAAAAAAAAACAAAAAAAAGAGAGAGAAAAAAAAAAAACAAAAACAAAAAAAATAAACACATAAAGAAAGAAAGACATAGAGAAAGAAGGAAGGAAGGAAGGAAGGAAGGAAGGAACGAAGGAAGGAAGAAAAGAAAACAACAGATACGAGAGAGAGAGAGAGAAAGCAGCAACAAAACAAAAACGTACAAGCCAACCCTGCGCAATGCAGCCAAAACAGACATGTTTGGGCTTGGGAGCCCGCCTAAGTCCTTGTCAGAGTCGAGATCCCAGCTCACGTTTCCACATTTCCTGCCATGGAAGCAGCCATGACCCCCTCTCGACAAAAGAAATAAAGGAACTGCATCACGCGTCTTAACAACCGCAATGGCGGCTTGAGCTGACAACCGGCAAAGTTTAGGCAGGGCTTGGGTCTTGAGGAGGTTAAGGCTTAGGGTGTAAAATGACAGAAGTGCGTCCGAGACTCTAAGTCCGAAGCCCCAGCCGACGGTAAAACACAAACGAGAACGCGAATTCGAACCTTCTACCCGAGCTTCCCAAAACAAGCCCGAAAGCTTCCACCCTCGGAGAAGGTGCGGGAGGCTCAAACCCTAAACCCCAAAACCCCAAAACCCCCAAACCCCAAAACCCCAAAACCCCAAAACCCCAAAACCCCAAAACCCCACAACCCCACAACCCCAAAACCCCAAAACCCCTAAACCCCAAAACCCCAAAACCCCTAAACCCCAAAACCCCAAAACCCCCAAAACCCCCAAAACCCCAGAACCCTAAACCCTAAACCCCAAAACCCTAAACCCCAAAAAACCCTAAACCCTAAACCAAAAAAACCTAAACCCTAAACCCGAAATCTGGGGCCGGGGCTTCTTGGAGTTGCAGAAGACGAGGCAGCCACCTCCCTCCGGGAGGCCACGGAGGATCTCCTTGAGCCTCAGCTCAAAGCTAGGGGGTGCTGTTTGGGGTTCAGGGTTCAGGGTTCAGGATTTAGGGTTTAGGGTTCAGGGTTCAGGGTTCAGGGTTCAGGGTTCAGGGTTCAGGGTTCAGGGTTTAGGGTTTAGGGTTTAGGGTGTGTCAGGGGAGGGCGCGCACTCGGGTGTGAAACACCCCGGGCCGCGCGCTCGCGTTGCCCGTCAACCCACCCCGGCCACCCAAACTATACTCTATTAGGGTTTAGGGTTTATGGAATTTATTTTCTTGTGCCCTGATGCTTGCTTTGATGTTTTTAAAGTTGCCTCGGCCCTTTTCGGGCCTGCGGCGTGTCAGGGCCCGTAGAGGCCCTCATTTATTTGAAGGTCAGGGAAACCCTTTGTGCCTGCTCCTTTCTTTAAGGTCCTCTGGGGGCCTTTTGGGGGCTTCCTGGGGGCTTTCCTGGCCCTTCCGGGGTAAAATGAAGGGGTGCCCAAAACCATCGATTTCAGTACCAAAAAATCGCAGTTTTCATTGCGGGTACGGGCATCCTGGGGTCCCCTTCTTTTAGGGGCCTTTTGAAGCCTTTTGAAGCCTTTTGAAGCCTTTTGGTGGCTCTTGGGGTCTCTCGCCCTGTTCGGACCTTCGGCGTGTCAGGGGCCGTAGAGGCTTTATTCATTTGAAGGTCAGGGAACCTATTAATTTTTTTTCGCCAATGCGTATTTCAATCGCTAGGGTTTAAGCTGGGGTTCGGGGTAGCCTCGGCCCTTTTCGGGCCTTCGGCACGTTAGGGCCCGTAGAGCCCTTATTTGCTTGAAGGCCTTCGCAGGGTTTTGCGGTGTTAGGGTTTAAGCTGGGGTTCGGGGTACTCGGCCCTTTTCGGGCCTTCGGCACGGCAGGGCCCCTGGACGCCCTTGCTGATTTGGGGGCTTCCTGGGCTTTCCTGGTCCTTTTCGGGTGAAATGGAGGGGTGCCCAAAACCATCGAGTTCAGTACTAAAAAATAACATGTTTCATTGCGGGCAGGGGTGCCTAAAACCATCTTCAATATTCAAAACTCGCATTTTTCATTGCGGGCACGGACAAATCTTGTGCCCTTCTTTTCGGGGGCCTTTTAAGCTTTTGAAGCCTTTTGGTGGCTCTTGGCGCCTCTTGGGGGCTTCCTGGGCTTTCCTGGCGCTTCTGGTGTACAATGGAGGGGCGCGCAAAACCATCCATTCCAGTAAAAAAAAAACATTCTTCATTGGATGGTACGGCCCTCTTGGCGCGGGGCCCTTTGGCGCGGGGGGCCTTCCTCTAGCCCTGAACCCGGGGCCTTGACCCTCAAGAAAGCCTTTGTTGGTCCGTTCTGAAGGGGTTGGTCTGGGACCCTTGACGGGGGGGCCCTTCTTGGGCCGAAGGTCCTTGGTTCAGGGGGCCTGGCCCGGGGGCCCTTGGAGGGGGGGCCCTTGGCCCGGGGCCTTGGCCGGAAACCCCTTGGTGTGGGGGGCGCTTTGGGTGGTTCTTGGTTGGGGCCTGCACGGGCTTTGGCCGGGGCCTTGGCCGGGGGGGTCCTTTGGGGGCCCTTGGCCCTGAACCGACCTCCAGGCAAAGGGTTACGCTTTGTTTGGGGTTTTACTTTAGCTACGCGAAAGGTGGTCTGGGTGCCGGCCATCCCTGAGCCGAGTACTGACGTTGTCGTAAACAAGGCCGATGTCCGTTGGCCTGTCCAGGACAGACGGTGAGGCTTAACCCTCACCTTTTCCGTTTCTCTTTTCGCTTGGGCGCTCGGGCTGTAAGGCCCTCGGCCGAGCGTTCGGGGTCTGTCGCTCGACGGAAGCGACCCCTCACTTAGTTTAGGGTTTAGGGTTTAGGGTTTAGGGTTTAGGGTTTAGGGTGTGTCAGGGGAGGGCGCGCGCTCGGGTGTGAAACACCCCGGGCCGCGCGCTCGCGTTGCCCGTCAACCCACCCCGGCCACCCCAACTATACTCTATTAGGGTTTAGGGTTTATGGAATTTACTTTCTTGTGCTCTGATGCTTGCTTTGATGTTTTTAAAGTTGCGCTGTTAGGGTTTAAGCTGTGGTTGGGGGTAGCCTCGGCCCTTTTCGGGCCTTCGGCGTGTCAGGGCCCGTAGAGGCCCTTATTTATTTGAAGGTCAGGGAAACCCTTTGTGTCTGCTCCTGGATTCCCCTTCTTTAAGGGCCTCAATTAAGTACGATTTCACTACCAAAAAATCGCATTTTTCATTGCGGGTACGGGCATCCTGGGGTCCCCCTTCTTTTAGGGGGCCTTTTGATGCCTTTTGAAGCATTTTGGTGGCTCTTGGGGTCTCTCGGGGCCTTGTTCGGACCTTCGGCGTGTCAGGGGCCGTAGAGGCTTTATTCATTTAAAGGTCAGGGAACCGATTAATGAATTTTTCGCCAATGAGTCTTTCAATCGCTAGGGTTTAAGCTCGGGTTCGGGGTAGCCTCGGCCCTTTTCGGGCCTTCGGTAAGTTAGGGCCCGTAGAGGCCCTTATTTGCTTGAAGGCCTTCGTAGGGTTTTGCGGTGTTAGGGTTTAAGCTGGGGTTCGGGGTAGCCTCGGCCCTTTTCTGGCCTTCGGCACGTTAGGGCCCGTAGAGGCCCTTATTTGCTTGAAGGCCGTCGTAGGGTTTTGCGGTGTCAGGGTTTAGGCTGGGGTTCGGGGTAGTTTCGGTCCTTTTCGGGCCTTCGGCACGTGTGCTGATTTAGGGGGAGCCATCGATTTCAATACTAAAATGCGGGCAGGGGTGCCTAAAAACAATGTTTTCAATATTCTCATTGTGGGCACGGACAAATCTTGTGGTCCCCCTTCTTTTAGTGGGCCTTTTGAAGCTTTTGAAGCTTTTGGTGGCTCTTGGCGCCTCTTGGGGGGCTTCCTAGGCCCTTAGCCGAGCCCTGGTTGGGGGGCGGGGGGCTTGGCCCGGCGGGCCCTTGGCCCGGGGGCCCCTTGGCCCGGGGGCCCTTGGCCCGGGGGGCCCTTGGCCCGGGGGGCCCTTGGCCCGGGGCCTGGAAATCCCTGCCCAAAATCACGAAATTGAGCAACCAGCCTGCCTGGACCCCTCGCCAGCCTCCTGGTCCAGGAATCCAGCTACCAGGGACCAGGGGGCCCCCGGAAGGGGGGGCCCCGACAAACCCTGAACCCAAAACCCTGAACCGACCGGCTACTACGCTAAAGGTGGTCTGGGTGCCGGCCATCCCTTAGCCGAGTACTGACGTTGTCGTAAAAAAGGCCGATGTCCGTTGGCCTGTCCAGGACAGACGGTGAGGCTTAACCCTCACCTTTCCGTTTCTCTTTTCGCTTGGGCGCTCGGGCTGTAAGGCCCTCGGCCGAGCGTTCGGGGTCTGTCGCTTGGTTTAGGGTTTAGGGTTTAGGGTTTAGGGTTTAGGGTTTAGGGTTTAGGGTTTAGGGTCTAGGGTTTAGGGTTTAGGGTTTAGGGTTTAAGGGTTTAAGGGTTAAGGGTTTAAGGGTTTAAGGGTTTAGGGTTTAAGGGTTTAAGGGTTTAGGGTTTAGGGTTTAGGGTTTAGGGTTTAGGGTTTAGGGTTTAGGGTTTAGGGTTTAGGGTTTAGGGTTTAGGGTTTAGGGTTTAGGGTTTAGGGTTTAGGGTTTAGGGTTTAGGGTTTAGGGTTTAGGGTTTAGGGTTTGGGGAGTCTTCAGGCTCATTTCATGGGGGTTTTGCCACGGGGTTTGTGAGCCAGAGCATGATTCAACCGGGTGCCTGGAGCAATGCACTCAAAAAACAAGTGCCAGAATCGATTCGGGGTAATCTCTATGTAAACCCTGAGTGAGGCCTACATAAACTCACCACAGAAAGCCTAATGCGGCACCCTGCATGGCACAGGCCGCGACGCTTCTAGCTTGTCACCCTCGCCATCGACAAGCTTGACGTGCTGCCTCGGATCTACGGTTCAAAGCTCAAAAGGCTTATATAGGGTTTGAGCCAAGCAGGTAAAGTCAAGATCGCAATCTCACGCAACACACGGTCCGAGGGAACTCCGATGTCCGAATTGAACCAACCAGTGCACAGAATGAAAAAAAGCCCAGCTGCACAATGTTTTTGTTGGTCGTGATTTCGCCAGACCCAATCTGGATCTGTATTGGATCCTGAATGAACACGGGCTCAGAGGTCATAGAGTCACAGACGCACGAAGAAGCATCTGGAACGCATTCACCGAAGCTAAGAAAGGATCCTTGATGTAGGTCTCCGCGAGCTTCTTGCACTCCTACATGCTACATGGTGCATCAGCCGCATCGCCATCTTCATGCAGGCTCCGTTGCCCTAAACCGACCCCAAAGCCTAAACCCTAAATACATCGCGTGAGGACCGGCGTGGCTCTGCAGTCCTGTGGCCAGGTGGCCGTAAACATGCACGTTTGGCGGTCATGCCACGGGACCTGCGTGACAGCAGCGAGGATGACATGTGAATGGCCGTCGCCTTCCACGTTCCACCTTCCAGCCCTTCCAACATTTCGAAGACTTGCTGTGCCACTGCGGCACTACTGACTGAACTACCGTCAAGTTGTGTATGATAGTGTCCAAACAAATGCTCCCCTTGATACATCCTGATGGGGAAAGCCAAAAAAAATTCGGGACCTCAAGTTTGGGAGGCGTCCTTTTTACATCGGCATTACACGGGAGAAGTCGGGTCGGCCTCATCCAGGACCTGCTTGATTTGCGGCTCGAAGCCCATGTCCTTGTCTCAGGACACCAAAACCCCGGACAGAGAACAAGGGCGGGCTTGTCCAGTTTTGCAAAGGGTAACAAAAGGCTAACTTACGAGGTTGTAGGGGGGGTTGTGTTCCTACCTCCCGCTTTCAGTGTGACCTTCTTATTGATTGAGGGCTCAATTCTGCCAACGTCCGAGTCCAGTGCCAGCATGCGATCTGCCTCATCAATGATTGTGAACCGCACTTGGTCCAAACCTTGGGGACTCCACATGCTCCGCTGAAAACACACCTCTCACGGTCAGTCGTGGCTGGGCGTTGGGCGGACCTGCTTCTTCTGGACAAAGTCATTCAGCCGACCAGGCGTGGCAATGAGACAGTCTGGCCCCGTATTTATTGCCTGGACAGGAAGACTCAGCCCTAAACCCTAAATCCTGAACCCTAGTAAGAGCATCGGTGCGTGACAGGAAGGCTGGCAGCTGGCTAATCTGGGACTTTCTGCCGAGGTCCTTGCCCATTCCTGATCCTTGCGGCTTGCGCCGCCGTAACAGCACGCAGCTGTGATCTGCACCTTTTCTTGCACCACAGCAAGCCACGGCCACAGCCCGTCTCCGCCCTTTTTTTGAACCCTCTTAGGGCCGAACTGGGCCGCCGAACTTCTCCGCATCTGAGTAGATCTGATGGCACCTCTCGGGTACTCGGTACCCTGATGCCCTAATTGGATCGGCTGTACCGCTGACTCAAAGCAGCTCACAGAGGTCCGAGTCTCCGAATCTGAGGCAGGCACAGCTCGCGAGTCGGCGTCATGCACAACAGCGCGGGCCTGGATTCGGCACTACATAGACTGCATTGCCCCCACTGTTATATTGCCCCTACTGTCACCATTCCTTGAGTAGTGGTGGTGGCATGCATCTCAGGATTCTTGCAGTCGTGCTACCCGTTGTTACTGACCTTGTCCCCCAACACCCTCTGAGGCAAACCCCGCACTGCAGCTGCGGAAGCTTCGCGCTTCGCTTCGGGGGCATCCTGGGATCCCCACCCCAGCTTGGTGTCGATATCTTGGCTCTTCTTGAGCTTCCTGGCGGCAGGGTCGTAGCAACTTCCTCCCGGCCGTGAAAGGCCTCAGGTCATCAAGGCCTGAGGCTTTGCGAACCCTAAGCCTGCACCCTGAACCCGAACACTGGACCCTTAACCTTCGGACTTCAAGCCCTACAGCCAGCCGCAGATTGCAGGGCATGCTCCAGCCAATTGAGGCAAAGAACTTCCGGAACCCTGAACCGCAACTCAACCTCAACCCCAAACGGCTCTTTCCCAAACAAAGGCTACCCCTGACAGACCCCAAAAATGCTATAGCTACGACAATCCTTACTATAGGAACTCCGCCCCCAAAATGGCACCCCTGTGTGGGACCCTGCCAGTAAGTCGCCCGGCCTGAGCTTGACGAAGCCCGGAAGAAGAAAGGCCAAGGTCTTGCCGGAGCCGGTCTTTGCGACGCCTCTCAGGAAGATTCAGGAAGCTGGGTTTAGGGTTTAGGGTTTAGGGTTTAGGGGTTTAGGGTTTAGGGTTTAGGGTTTAGGGTTTAGGGTTTAGGGTTTAGGGTTTACGGGTGGGTGGGCCTTCGTTCAAGGGCAGTGAAGGCTTCTGGGAGTGGCTTCTTTCAGGGTGTTTCATGCCAACTTCCAGCTTCTGCAGGAGTAGAACCCTGGGCTCCACGTGCCTACCAAGTCCTTCCCAGACTGCAGCACCGCCCAGGAATAGGCCTCTGGCCAGATTGTTTTGGGGATGTTTAGGGTTTAGGGTCCATATCTAGGGCGTAGGGGTGTACCTATGGTATTTGAGGGTGTGGCTTGAGTCACTTCCCGCCCCTCGGGCGCTCCTTTTTCGGATGTCCGGCACTGGTACGCATCTGGCATTGCTACATCTGTGCCACAGAGACGCCAGCTTGAGCTAGCTGAAAGCTCCAGCGGGTCTCCGTCTATTAAGTCATCTGGAAGATTGTGCTTCAGGCTCGCAGCAGGACCGTACAAGGACCTGGCAGCCTGCCACTGCCTGGAAGAGTTTTGACATCATGAGATATAACGAGCTGGGCCTCAGCACAATCATCCACAAGCTGTGCGACAGAGCTGTGTCACGTGGTAGCGTGCGATTGCACAGCCTGAAAACAGCGGGAAACTGGAACAAAGGGTCGCGCTCCCTTCTTTCTGTCGTGGAGCAGCGATGTGGAGTCTGGGCTGAGTGCCCGAGACCACCTTCAAACCTCGCCACACATCCCAAAACCTTACAACCACCCTGGGCCCGGCGCCTCTAAAATCTGACTCCCCCCCCCCTACAGCCGCAGCGTGACGTGCTTCGACAGGGCACCTGAGACTCTTGGCTTCTTTTAGCTTACTGTTGGTTAGTAGGGAACGAAGGCCTGGGGTACCCTATATAACCCCTTGAGGGGTATATCTAGGAGGGCATAGGGTACCTCGTTCCCTCATTCCCTACTAACCAACAGTAAGTTTAAGGCTGCCATCTGGGAAGTTTTGCTGGGTGCACTACGACTAAGTAGTGTACTTTTGCATGTTGTTGTCTTCGAAGCGAGGGTTTTTATAAGAGTGCCCTGTCCTGCGTCTGTTTTTGGATAGGGCCGGGAGATTGAAGTCTTCATCTGACGGAGTTAATACAGAAAACCTTAGACTCCTTTGGGCACCCCTGCAGCACGACATTGTATAGGTCTGGGAGAACAGTACTTAAAATTACAGGGGGGTCTGTCTTTGGGGGAAGGCATTGATTGAACACCTGAGAAAGGCCCTGCAACAAATCGGGGGAAAACTCGAAGCTCCACGGACAAAGTCAGAACACTACTGGGCCGCCAACTCGTCACCAAGGCACGACCCAACACCCTCATGTAGTCGCCCACTCGGCCTTGGATGATCACCTCAGGGAGAATCGCCCCATCCAGCAGGTGTGGAATCTGATAATAAGAATCATAATGAATATGATATTGAACTCATCTTGATTACTATATTCGCCTCGGCTTCCTGCCGAGAAGCGTCTGGAACAAGCAGACCCGGGTCGGGCCTGCCAAATTTTTTGATGCCACCCCCCCCCCCGCCCTGTGGGACCCCCCCCAATCCCTTGGAGGAGCTGCAAACTGATGCCGTGGAGGGTCCCGCTTGTCGGTGGCTCCTACAGGGGGAGTGCCTCAAAACCCCCCAACCCCCACCCCACCCCCCCCCCCCCCCACACCCCACCCCCCACCCCCCCCTCACCCCCCCCCCCCCCCCCCCCCCCCCCCCCCCCCACCCGCTCTGCTCCTCCCTTTTTTTGCGAAACCCTCTTTCCTCCTTTCCTGTCCTGGGGCCGGCCCGGCTGCCGAGGCGGCGCGCGCAAGCGTTTACAATCAAAGTATGAAATGAAATAATCATGACTGAGCAGGTCTGAGCAAGAAAGCCCGAGGTGCCTTCTCCAGGAAAGCGGTGCATGTGAGATTGCACATGATCACCAAGAGCAGATGGTAGCGCACCGATCTCGGCATTGCTGGGCAGTACCTGATGGCATCGTCCAATTCCAGAAACTCAGGACTTATTCGGATACTTTAGGATACCAAGGGAGCTTTCATGGCCGAGCTGCTCCTCTGGCGTCCATGGATCGGAATCCGTGACGTCCTGGCAAAGGCGGAGCCGAAAAAAAGCGAAGCGCGGCTCTCGCATCGCAGCCTCGAAGACGAGCTTGAACAAGCGGGTCATCCAATTGGGGCTGCTCAGCATCAGGAACGTCCTTTGCAATGGTTGGGCTCAGAGCCTATCTCAACCCCGATATCTCCACCAGAAACAACAGGAACTCCTCCAAAACAGGATCTCTCTCCTCTCTCGTCTGAGGCGAGTCTCAGCAGCCCCAGGTTGACCGCCACCAAGGCCTTTTCAGAGGCCATCACAGCCCCCCAACAAACGCTTCGGGCGACTTCTTGGGCAGAGGGGACGTTAGGCGAGCTTGAGGCGAGACTCGCCAAGCTGGTGGTGTTGCAGGGAATCCCCTATGGTTAGGGCTCATGGAGGACGAAGAGCTCGTTCCCCAGTGCGACTACATGCGGCGAAAAGTCGCCAGACCACATGTCTCTCAACTAGCAGCCCCAGTCAAGCGGTTGCCCAATCTGGGCGGCAGGCCATCAGGACCTCGGAGAAGGAACTGTGCTTGACTGGGAAATACTGGGAACTGGGGGCATCAGAGCCGATCTGGAGAGCTGGGATCGCTAGATCAATGCCAGCCGAACGGCTAAGTTCGTGTACCAGGGAAGCCGGAAAACATCACCGAAGGAATACACCACAGCCGACCAGAAGAGCTGAAAGGTGTACCTGATGTTGATGCTGCCGCCACATGCCGAATGCACCGAAAGCACAAACAACAGCAGCAGCAGCAGCAGCAGCAGCAGCAGCACCAGCAGCACCAGCAGCAGCAGCAGCAGCAGCAGCAGCAGCAGCAGCAGCAGCAGCAGCAGCAAAGCACGTGATCGCCCTGAGCTTAAAGACTCTCCGGACAAATCCCAGGCGATGCCTGGCACAAGGAAGGAAGGAACATGTGTGACCGCCGAGGTGCGTAAAGAAAAGAGTCGTGACCTCCCAGTTCGTGTTCAGCTTCCACCACTGCGTGATGCGGACCTTGTGAACCTCGCTCAAATCCCCCAAGCCCTAACACATAAAAAACCCAAAAAAACAGGCTATATAATTTATAGGTTACAAAAAGTACAAAAAGGCAAAATTATTGCAGACTTTCGCTTCTAATAGGAGCCATCTTGGGGACCACGTTGGAACATGCTTCTTGCATCAGCACGCCGACGCCCTCCCAAAGCCCAAAGTCCAAAACCCTCGGCTTACTCGACGAAGGATGACCCCTAAACCCTAAACCCTAAACCCTAAACCCTTGACGTCTCTACCCGGCGGAGTCTCTGCCGATGTTTGGGGCGCTCAGGGTGGTGGATGAAGCTGTTGCTTGCACAGTGGGGCTCAAGGTTGCCGACCGAAGCAGCCTTCAGCTGCCGGCTTTCAGGCGCTTTAGGGTTTAGGGTTTAGGGTTTCGGGTTTTCGGGTGTAGGGTTTAGGGTTGGGGTCCTCCGGCTCTTTCGCAGTCCGGCTTTGCCGAACTGGGCCCGGTAGCCCATTCTTACCGAGATGCGAGGATGTCGGCTATCAAAGACGCACCGCTACACTCAGCCACGTGGCCGGGAACGGCACGTACTCCTCATCCGACGTTATGATGCTCCAGTTCACTTCCAGAAAAAGGGCATTCAAGCCCAGCATGCCCACAACGGACAACACCTGCAACAGACAGAGGTGCAACATATCCAAGTCTCAGCCCAGCCCCGAACCACTCTGATAAGGCTGTGCACGATACAAGGCGCAACCCATGCTACCCTGAACTCTATGCCTCCCTAAAGTCCCAAGCCCTGAAGGATTGGATAGAGGGGGAGGGAGGGAGGGAGGGGAGGGGGAGCACCGTGAAGCCGGAGAAGAGCGAAGAGGTCGGCCGGCTGGTGGCCAGCACCGGCGCAGGCCTGGGTGCAGGGGTCCGGGGAATCTGGATGTAGTACGGCATAAAGGGCACATGCGTTCGAGGATTGCCGCTGCACCCTGAGCCGGGCCTGGCCAAGCTCATGGCCCAGGACAGGCTCAGGAAGCCAATCATGTCCTGCGAGTTCCAAGGCTGGTCGCCCACGTTCCGGCGGAGGGGAGGGGGGGAGGCCTTCTGGGTGTCCTTTTGCACACGAGGTGTACGCTGTCACGCCGTTATTGGTCAAAAACCCCAACCCCTCTAGCGGAGGAGCGTGCAGTGGACGACGAAGCAACGGAGCAGGATCTATATGGCAGATGCCCCCGTGTGCGACCGTCGTGAGCTCCCCACAAAGTCCCAACATGCCGAGGCCTGGAAGTAGGCCGCCATCATGGATTGCGAAATGCCTTCACTGGGCATGGGGCATGCTGCATGACCCTCTTCGTACCAGACACAACCACAAAAACTGCATATCAAGGATGCCCAAAACGCATCCTAAAGTATGCCAGCACCAATCTCTCTAAAGCAAGCCATGCAACAGACAGCAGTCTATGCAGCTACCACGAGCAATGCAGTGCCAACATGTCTACTAATGTCTGCACATGATCTGTCATAATCTGCCAGGACACCGTGCCAATAGGTCTTGAACTTCAGCACTGAGTTCAGAAGTCCATAGTGGACACCTCAGCTGGCGAGAGCACGACAGCCGGAGTCGCCGGGGTCGCTCCTCATGGCCTAGAAACCCGACAATAACCGAAGTCGAGGAGCAGTACTTGTATCCAGCAAAGGACGTGGCCAGCGCGCCTGGCCAGCTCATCATGGGCTCAGAAGGTGCTTTGCACGGGCACAGGGCGGCAACCGAAACCGAAAACCGCATCGCGCCTCGGCCCTCACGCAGGAGGTCTGCAATGGGCGCCACACTGGGCCGGCAAGTGGTGAAGGGGGCGACCACTGTGGCTGAGGTGGCAGAGCTCAGAGCCATCCTGGCAGTCCGTAAAAGCTTGACGCAGAGCAGAGCAAATGGCGGCATGCGTGAAGATTCCCGAGTGCGGCTGACGGTTTGGTCAAGACATGTCAAGACAACCCCACGTGCGCCGTGCGCAAGGCGCCAGAGTCGTTGCCACCATCACCGACCATGGCGCCTCGAAGTGACTGCAAGATGCTGTAAGCCAAGCAAGCACGTGGTACCACTGTAAAGTATTGTAAAGTCTCACAGCACAAGGCTCGGTACCAGCTCGGTGATGTCTCGGTTTCATCCGTGCTCATCAGTTTTCATCGAGGTGCAAATGAGGCCCTGGGACATGAAGCCCTCCACGACCTCGGTTGTGCGATGCAAGTAACTGCCAGCAACTGCCAGCAACTGCCTGTGCCTGCTTCTGCTTCCTTGCCGGAGTGCTCTCCGGAGTCACGCAGCGCTGCAAACATCGCTTCGAAACGCTTTCAGCTTTTGCCGCGCCACACTGATCTTTCCGTTCGGGGTCATGCGGGCGAAGATGCGGATGGAGGTGAGCAGCTCCCAGAGGAGGGAGGTGTGGCCTGGCCGCAGTTTGCCAAGGAACCATTTTCTTTCCTTCCTTCTAGCAAGTACAACGGCAAGATATACACATGAGAAAACACCAACCACCAACAAGAGTGTACAACAAATCAACCAAGTATGCACTACATCTTGCAGTAACAATAAGTTCAAGTTAACATGCACCGCTCCCATTTACAGAAGCCCCGCACGCCTTTGCCACTGCCAAGCACCCTGCCTTAGATCCAGGACGGAAACTAGATGAAACGCATCTACCTCTTGGCCGCCCAGCTCATCACTTTCATCAAGCCACCCTTTTTCAGAGAGGACAGGCGTGAGCCCAGCAAAACCCGGCGCAGATCCGGCGAGCATTGCCTCACGCAACAGCAATCGCCTGCCTTCGCATTTCGAAGCAAGACAGCAAGCGACCCTGCTCGATGCTGGCAGAGATGCTGTGCAGCAAGCCATTCAAAGGCCTGCTGCGTGACCGCCAGTTCACACCACTCGAAGAGTCGTGAGAGCACTATCTCCTCCAGGAGCACTGGTATGCCCGGCAGCAGAAAGCTTCACTCCTCAAACAATTGCACCTGGTGCAGTTCAGTCCTCCGTCGAAAACACAAAGTCCTCATCCCCGGCTTCTTCACCTGTCCGAGTTGCGATCGCACAAGGGAGGTTGATGCTGCTGCCTGGCGATTGTGTCGTTGTCAGTCTATCAGTAGCGCCACACTACCAGCACAACTTCATCCAGGTTCACGTCTCCCGCTGCCTGCATTTTGCACCTCCTCCAACTGTGGCCAAGAGCAGCGCCTGGGTGCACAGTTGCCCAAAATTGCTCAAAATCAACCCTGAACCCATCTAAACCCTGAATACATGCCATCGCAGGTGTTGAGTGCTGGTGCCCGCCTGGAGATTTCGGCCTGCGCTTCACGCGCGCGCCGCTTGGCAGCCTGCACGTTTTTCAGAATTGCAAGCATCCCCTTGGCTGTCATCTTTGAAGCATCTGGGGCAGCATAGCCGATCCTTGGCAGTGGCTTCGCCGCGCGCCCCGGCTGCACCTCCTGGGATGACAAGAGACAGGGCAGAAGCCTCTGGTAGCAGGATTCCTCGTGGCCTCCCCGCCACTGCTTGTAATTCTTCCGCCAGGTCAGCCACTCGTTGCCCAGGAGAATCTCGTTCAGGCCTGCGTCAACTTCTTGAACGTTCACGGTGGTGCATGCCACAAGCTTCCGATCGGTGGATGCCTTTGAGGTCTTCGCCGACGCACCTGTGCAAGCGGTGCAGCTCCGGCTTCTACAGACTAGAGCTCACAGCAGATGGTTGCAGAATTCAGCAGGTTGCAGGTGCTTAGCTGCCTCCAGCAAACGACGTTGTGGCCGTTCGCGTTGCTTTCCATATCTCCCAGCAGTACGGGAAGCCCCGGCGCCGCGAGCTTTATCTCCTGCTTCAGTCTCATCTGGGAAAAAGGGTTGAGGGTTGAGGGTTTAGGGTTTAGGGCCTAGGGATTAAGATTGTCCCCCCCCAAGATGTCGAGACCAGGCCCTAAGGGCGTCCTTGGCGATGGACACCGCCGTGCCAGCCGCATCCCCAGTGATCATGACCTGGTCTTTACAACATCAGAGTACCACCTAAGGGGGCTTCCTGCTTCTGTTTTAAATGGGGAAGCTGAAGGTGAAAGCCACAAGGGCTTCCTCCTCTTGTTTTTGCGGATAGGTCACGCTCCGGACGTCACCGGCACGCAAGCACTCGATGGTCTCCGCAGTATCCGGACGAGGGGGATTCTTGAACAGCAGGCATCCTGCAGGCAGCTCAAGGACGCAAGCACCTTGACACAAGCACTTTGACAGGCCATTGCTTCAGAAGCCAGCGTAGCAGCCATAAGGAGCCCAGCACCCAGCAAAAGCCACCGCAACAATCTCCCGGCCTAGCAGGGTCAGATCTTTCTCTGCGTCTGCGCGATTTTGCACCTCATCTCAATTTATCTTAGGATCGGTGTGGTTTGGAAACCGAGGGCCACCATGCTTGTTTGTGTCAGCGTCAGAGAGACGCATCATTGACTAGCAACAGTACCATCAGCTTTGAGTCTCAGCCAGCTCCAACAGGCTGGAAACGAAACAGCACGAGCACGAAGAGCAACCGGCTATTATTCCCCTTAGAGCATCTCATCAGATTTTGAGGAAAGACCACAACATGCCGCAACGCAGCATCGTGAGCATCAGGAAGAGCTCTTGAGGAGCATCCACGACTTGTCCATCAACTGCTGGCTTTTGGAGTGGGAAGTATCAAAGGGCTGATTACACCAGGCGTGTGCGAGGGCCATCCCAGCTTCCTCCCCCCTCCTTCCCCCGCCCATTGGAACCTCAAACCCAAAACCCTCAACCTCAAACCCTGAACCCTGAACCCTCTACCCTCAACCCTAAACCCGAAACCCTCAACCCTAAACCCAAAACCCATGTCGCCCGCAAGCAAAATGGCTGGGAGGAGGTCGGGATGCTTTTGCCAAGGGCGCAGACTCGCCGGCTTGCAAAGGCCGCGCAGCCAGGCCCAGGACCTCTGAGCCAGGCATGTTCAGGGTTTAGGGTTTTTTTACGGCAAGCGCATGTCAGAGCTTTGGAATGTCGCTTAAACAGATTGGGATGGTGCGTATGCGCAGACGCAAGGTACTCCAGAAATCTTGGTTGGGTTTGAAGAAGCTGCTTTAAGCCCAGGAAATCTCTTCTGTGATCGGGTGTAGCCGTGTGATCCAGATAGTGTTGTAGAATCGGCAACGCATATTCTATGTTTAGTTCTGGCCAATACCTTGGGGTTTAGGATTTGGGGTTTGGGGTTTAGGGTTTAGGGTTTAGGGTTTACGGTTTAGGGTTTAGGGTTGAGGGTCTCAGGTTTGGGGAGTTTTGGGGGACTTAGGTAGGTTGGGAGCTCACGCAACGCAGGCAACTCTATATGTAGGGGATACAGAACAGGGCCCACAACTTTCGAGATCCCCCATGTTCTCTGCTCCACTGTCTCGTGCCTTCCAGAGGAAATCTAGGAAGGAAAACAGTTGAACACTGCACCTCTGACTCACCAACAGTATCCCTTGTTAAGCCCAGGGGCGTACATGCCTGCAAAGGCATGCGCTTCGGCAACCTCTCGCAGGAGAGTGGTGCAAAACTGCCGTTTGATTCCCTGCATTTTTGCATGTACCAAGTGTCTTATCTTGGAATCTTTCGCCCCCTTGGTTTTCACGAGCTGTTCCTCGAAGACTTTATTTCGTATTCGATGCTAAGGAAACTCTCACTTGGCTTTTGAGCTCCGCTGTGTGAGTTAGTTTCAGCCCAGCTGAAACTAGCAAATGTTATCATTCGGTTTTTGACCCTCAATGCAGAGTGAAGCGGTATTACTTCTCTTCATTAAACATAGTTAAAGAAAGCACAAGAAAGAGGAAAAAATGCGATCTACTGCGCTTTTCTGGTGCCAAAAGACACCTTTGAAGTTCCATAATTTTATGGGGGCGGGGTCTGTTCGCGCTCTTTTCATCAATGCTGATGTACTGCTTTGGAATCGGCTCAATCGTCACAATATCTTCCTAGATTTGTTGATGATTTTCAGGTGCCTTCCTCTTGCAAACTCTTCTCACGGCCGCATAGAGGACTGAGAAGTCCATAATCTATTAAGGGTTGTATTCAGCCGGCCCCTTACAATACAACAAAATTCGCGTTTTTGCTGGGCCATGCAATTCGAATAGCCAACTTTGAGCAGAACCAGCTTGCATAATTGTCGACCCAAGGGAAAAGGTAACCCTAAGCCCTAAACCCTGAACCCAGAACCCAGAACTCTAACCCTAAACCCTTGAATCAATTGGTCTGCTTAACAGACCGCCGGCGCCTGGATGAAGTTCTCCGGAACCGAGTCTGGCCGGCACTTGCGCAGGATGTGCTCGAAGCTCCCCTTGCAGTAGATGCCTTGCCATGGCCAAGCAATCTCTCCACAGATGCACCGTGTGGTCTCGTGGTCTAGACAAGACACATGGGGGGGGCGAAAAGAGGGGTACCCCCAAATACAGAGCCCAAATAAACGGATTCCCTTGTAATCAGGACCCCAATAAGGTACCACAAATTTCGGAAACCACCACATAGGCTTCGATAACAATGCTCAGCACGCACTCTGTGCTCAGTGCTGAAGATCATTCAGAGCATGCACTCCAACATACTGCCGCCAGTTGGTGGTTTTGTTCTTCTGCTGAGTGGTCACAGAGCCATCGACCCTTCAGAGTTTCATAATCCTTCGGCGTTCAGGTGGGGCTAAGGTGCTGACCTTCCTCCCCACTAGGATGGTGCTTCACCACGGCACTCCTGAGCAGGCTTGGGGCTTGTAGTTTTGCAAACCCCACCTAAACCCAAACCGTAAAATCAAAGAAGAAAATCAGAACTCCCAAACTGGACGATGGGATTCAGGGTTTTAGGCACCTCCTCCCACATCTTCTTGTTGTATGCGGCTTTACATGGTCGACTCTCTACATGACGCTCACTTTGGGGAGGGGAGACCAGAGGGGCTTCCTGATCACATGAGTTCCTAGAACAGCCACCCTAAACCCTAAACAGCTCTGAGCAACAAGGGACCATGGGTTCACCTGCTTGTTTGTATGCGCTCGATGTCTTGGCAACCGTCTTTAGAGCCGTCTAGACGTAACATGGCTAGTAAAGGACGCGCTCAGAAACACCGGGAACTTCCGATCTTGCGGCGTTGAGTGAACCCTTGGAACGAAATCTCTGTAGATGTACCGTACATCTGCTGAAGTTCACTGGCAATCACTGGCACAGTAGCACCGTTCTAGCTCGCATGAGACAAGCAAGCAGTTGTGCCCTGCGCCAGTTATTGATCAGTTCCAAGGTGTCAAGCCTAGGCTTAAGCGGTTTGGCATGACGCCCCAGGAGATCTCTGCCAGGGTGCATGGTCATGGTGCTGTGGGAGAAGTCAAAGCGTTTCCTTACAAAAAGCGATGCAAGGGGCCCCGGATCCTTGAAAGACATGGTCCATGGTCTTTTTGGGCTTGGAATAGGAGAGCAAGTTGAGGTATCGGCAGTCTTGTTCGGATTAACGCGACGGAGCACTTTCACGGCCACGAGGAATTCTAACTGCTGCATGAGGAACACGGCAACAAATCGTTGCTGCTCGAACACTCACTACAATGTACCTTGCAAGCAACGGGGAGCTAAGCAGCTATAGGGCCCTGTTTTCGGAGCATGCGAGCTTTCGCCGAGCCACCGTATTTCGAGCCGGTGCCCTGGAAAAGCAGAGTCGGCTGGGCATTGCACGTCGCTCTGCGAAGCCAATGACCATCTGGAGGCTTTGAACATGTTCCTTAACTCAACTCCGTGACGTGGTCAGCTATTTCGCAAAGCCCACTTCTGTCAGTCTGTCACTTCTCAGTGCATCAAACCCTCTCCATCTGAAGCCCTTTGTCACTCCCTACCTATAAACAAAAGATGCAGCCAAGACTCACCTCGACAGCATTGCCAACAACACCTGGTCGGTGCAGCCGGACGACGTCGGATTTGGGCAGTTCAGCACAAGACAAAGGGCCCCGCTGTATTCTAGAAGCCCGAAGGATCCGCCAGCAACGTCCGGAAAGCACAAGAACCAAGCAACCTGGAGGGCAAGCCCAAAGCTAGCTCAAAGTTGAGGCGCCCGTTTCACTTTGTGAAAACGGAGACAACGAGTGTGCGCTCGCCAATCCGCAGAGAATGTCGAGATCCTCGGCTTCCCGGAGGAGTCTCGTCATCTATCGACCTTCATAGCCCTGAACCCTAAACCCTAAACCCTAAACCCTAGGAAAATCTCAATAATGATGCGGCCAAGGCCTCCCACTTCGATCTTCGCGGCTCTGCCTCCAGCTTCGGGGTCGTCGAAGCACTCAGGCGCTTTGAGGAGAAGGGGCTCGGGGAGCCTGCCAAGAAAGTAGGTTTAGGGTTTAGGGTTTAGGGTTTAGGGTTTAGGGTTTAGGGTTTAGGGTTTAGGGTTTAGGGTTTAGGGTTTAGGGCTTAGGCGTGAGGGCTCAGGGCTTAGGGCTTAGGGCTTAGGGTTTCGGGTTTTGGGTTTAGGGTACGGGGGGCAACCGAAGGAGGACAGGGAACAAAACAGTCAGCCCCAACAGAAGCCCTTGATTCCCCTGGAACAACCGAAGACAAAACCCAAAGCACAACCAAACACACCTTTTCCGTAGGGCGCATTGCCCACGTTTCTTGAGCCAAAAATATCCGGGTTCATTGACCCCTTCAACTCCCATCACCAACTCTTTTCTACAATACCAGTTGCAGCTCCGCACTCCCCCTGTCCTAGGATTTCCTAGGACACATTGGAGATGCCGTTCTTTGGCCAAAAACCGCCATTTAGGCAGCAGCCAGCTGCTTGAAATGCACATTATGGTTTAACGTCATCCAGGACGAACCTTCAGCTCATTGGCTGAATCCTTTACCATTGAGGATTTCTTCACCTCGTACTTGGAAAATTCACGTTCCAGCGGCCCGTTCCTCACCAAGGAACTCAGCATTCACCACCCAGCCATCCTTGAGGCAATGCTTACAAAGCGTCTTAGCCCTGGGCTGTGAATATCGCAGAACATCACAGTCACTGCTTGCGTGCATACAGTTCCCACCCACTGTTGTATACAAAGTGGCACTCGCAGGAATAACCACCGCTTTCTTGATCCACAGCCATTTATACAGCCGTCGAAAGAGGCACCATGCCAGTTCCCAGAGTATAATTGCTGCCACCAAATACGCAACAAGGTCTGAATTGTTGACAACCATTTCAATACCTTGAGCCAGAACCATCACCGTAGACGTGTTGGCGACCTTGCACACCCCTTCTTCTGAGCAAAAGAATCCAGCCGTGGACACTTCTTCGCCACCAGTTGCCATCCCTTGCAGAGATGCAGCCACCATCATGACCGCCATTGCAAGCGAGGCTTTTTTCAAGTCAGTTCCTTGAACCAACAGTCTGAGACCCCAAAGTGCCTTTTGCTTTGCGTACACCTGTCCACTCATTAACTTAGTCAACAGGTCAGCGATCATATACTCACCGCGAAGGTGCGCTATCACCATATAACCACGGTCCACCAGAGACCTGACACCGGCTGCTCGAATTCTCAGGTGTCTTGTTCTCCAGCTTCCAGCAGGATATTGAATGATCGAGCACGTTGAAACCGAATCTGTATACAGCACTTTTTGCAGCGATTCTTCACCTGTTCCAACCAAAGCGGCAATTATAGGGGTGCACGACTGAATCATCGTTGCTCCCTCTATGGACGCATGTAATTCAGCTTCAGCTGTACTTAAAGCCACCGTTGATTGTCTTTGTGTTGCCCACATCACTGGACAGTCACCCCACACCACCACCGCTCCTGAGTGGCTCTTTTCATTTTCACCTGCTGCAAAGCTGGCATCCGCGTAGGACTCCACCACCTTAACACCTCGTCCATAACGCAACACCTCATTCCTTTCTTTTTCGCATGTTGCGATTGCTCCGAACGTCAAGCCTAACGTTGGAGTTGCAGCAAGGTATCGGAAAACTTCCTCAGCCTTTTTAACCACAAATCGTGGCCTTCGGGATGTCCACAAAGACAACTGGCTCGTGCAGAACGCCAAATCAGGTCGAGTTTTGATTGCCACCCAGAGGAACTCCCCTACGGCACCTTGAGCCGCTCGCAAGGAAGGAATATCCACCTCCTCTTCTTCACCTGGAGTTTCTTTCACCATTGGCAGGTTACTCCCTTTTCCAGTTTCATCGATCTGATACCCTCGTCGGTTCAGCAAATCTCTCACAAAGTCCTCCTGGTTGAGAAAGAAGCTGCCATTTCGATACCAGATTTGGACACCCAAAAACTTCAGGAATCCATCACCGCAGCCTGGACCACAGAACTCGGGTTCAGAAGTTTTCCACTCCTTCCTAATCTGTTCCAAGGCCTCCCGGAGCACTGTCATAGTCCCAGCCATCAAAAAATCATCCACGTAAAGACCCATTGTCCCTACCAACTTGCTTGCACCTTCCGGCTTTTCTTGTGCCATAATAAGGAACAGACTTGGGTCTGCATTGGACCTCTGAAAGCTCATTGCTTGTCCATCCTTTGACACCCAAGACATACCTTGAAGACGTTGGTCTCGCCACTCCACCCATGCTGCAGGACTTTCGGCCAAACCGTACAAGGCCTTTCTCACAATCCACCGCTCCTCCTTTGTGCAAAGACCCAATTTCACCGCCGCCCTTGGGGGCTGCACCACCACCAAACGCCCTTCTCTTTGCGCCCTATTCATCGGCGCCGTCAGAAAAGCTTTGGAAATGTCTAAGCCAGCGATGATCCATACCATATATGCTGCGTGCCTCACTTGACACCTGAATGTAGTTGAATCTAAGCCTGGAGCGTACAGCGAGTGACGACTGAGTGACCTCGGCCCTTCATATTCTGTAGCTGCCGTTGACGAAATGAAGTTTCCACATGCACAGATACGGGCACGTCGCCTCCCTGTCCCTTGCTTCCGGGTAAACACCACCAGACTGGGAACGTACTCAATCACCGGTGCATTAGGCTCTTCCGCCAATTTGTCCAGCTTTTCTTGAGTTGTTGGTTCCACCACCTCCAACTCTTTCACCAAAGACGTCACCTCGTCCGACAATGATTCCCTCCACTTTTCCAGCTCTTGCATGGCTTCTTGTGTAGGGATTGTTTTTGTTTGCAGGAACTCAACCTCCTCTGCTGCCTCAAGCGCGGTATTTTCTTGCACCATTTGCTGAACTTGAGCTGCTTTGACCAAAAACCTCGAGAGCTGTTCCTCAGCCCTTTTTGCTTTAACCAGCCATTCTCTAGTCCCTGATCCTTTCTCCTCATTCGACTCATTGGCCGATCCATGGAACTCGTCCAAAATGCAACATTCCTGTTCAGCAATTAGGCGTCGAATACTCAAATGCTCCTCTAGAGCCCATTGATGCGCTTCGAACACAGCGTAGTCGACTTCCTCTGCAAGGTCGTCCAGCGAGGTCTCTTTCAACGTCATTTTTAACCACTTCCTTTTTTCACCTTCTTCAGCTTGTGGTTCCGGAAGAGGAAACTTGCATTGGAGAAGATAGCACCTATCCTTGTAGCTCAAACGCTCCATAAAAACAGGTGTGTACCCTGTCAAGGATACCCTGTTCCCTTTCCAAGGCATAGGACCATGCAGCTTTCTCGGAAAGAACGACATGAAGTTCCAGTGGATATCCACCAATTTTCCAGGTAAGACTTTCTTCCCATAGGATTGCTCCACCACTTCAGCTCCTTCCTCTAAGACCTTTTCATCCTCAACCCACAGCTGACCATCTTTATAGTCACCAAAGCCACACACATAATTGCAGCAATGCTTTTCATTGTGACTATCCCTATGCAATGACACCGGAGCATTGCATGAGATCTGAAGAGCAGAAAATTTGGCTTCAGGATTGTGGTGCCTCACGAATGATGCCAAATAACGACATAGCCATGGTCTTCGATGAGTCTCTTTTGTGATACCACACACTCCGCCATGAGTATAGTGGCCCAACACCAGAGCTCGCGTACTTGCGCACCAATTGTTGATACCACCTCTTCGATTCACCCTCTTTGGGTATACAATCCCTTCCAAAAGCTCCTCGCAGTCCACGTAATCATACATAGACCTTTCATACATTGACTTGGCTTTTTGCTCTTCTTTTTCCAACTGTGTTCCATCCCCAGCAGTCTCACTTTTGCAGACCAAATAAGCATTTTCATGAGGAGAACAGCAAGTCGGCCAATACTCATCACCAGGAACATTGTCCTCAACATCTGCATTTTCTTCCAGCTCCCCCAGACCCTGCATGTCATCCTCGAAAATTTCTAAGGGCGGACTCTCCCCCCGCTTGCGAAGCAAGCGCAAGGAGCCCACATGACCACGCAGTGAAGAGGCCGGGCTTTTCTCCATCAACCGATGGCGAACTGGAGGATCGCGAGGCGGAGGTAAAGGAGGTCCTTCCTCATCAGCAAACCGAAGCGCCGGTTTTTTCCCCTTGAGACGATGCTCTGGAGGAGAAGGCTCCTGTTCTTCTACCACCCCTTCCAGCTCCAATTCAGGCGGTTCCTTTATATTGGAAAAAATCGTAGTGCAGGGAAATAACACCAGTTCATCCGGATCTTTTGCAGTCCCTTGAGCTTCCACCCAATAACCACCAGGTAGGTCATCGCATGGACCCAAAAGAAGCGCAGGCTGCGTACGATCGACCCATTGCCGACCTTTCTTTGTTCCATCCGGACCCAGCAACTCCCACGGACGACGTTTGACTTGAATCTGAGCACCAAAAGGAAGCAATGCTTTAGGATTTAACCCCAACTCCCTTTCAGCTTTCTGCCACCGTAACATTGACCAATGGCGAGCAGCCAGTGCCCAGTACGCCGGCCCGAGTCGCGCCTCCTTTAAGAGCGACCTGACACCACGTTTGAATAAACCCACACATGCTTCAGCGCGCCCATTTGTTTGCGGGACTCCAGGATCACCAGTGGTCCTATATATCAGACGAGTTTCACAAAAGGACCGGAAGCGTGCATTGACAAACTCCCCCGCTCGATCTGAGTGGATTCTCAACACCGGATACCCATATCTCTGCAAGCGCACCATCATCCTTTGAACTGCCGACAAAACAGTTGTTTGCTGTTTATCCACAATCGGCTCCACCATAACGAAGTTGATCATACGGACAGGTTGGGTCAAGTGGTCCTTCAGTTCCTTCCAGGATTTCTCAGAAGCTTGAATTTTCAACACCTCCGCCTCCAGAACTGGCGCAGGTTCCACCGGTGCAGAGCCTTCCTCCTCGAAGTTCGCGACTGCATCGCCTAACCATTCTCCAACACCAGCACCTTCATCTGCCACGTGATCTTCCACCTCATCCGCATCTTCCGGAGGG